GTGTATGACCAAAAACGAAAAACAGTGGGGGGGAAAAACACCTGTTAGAGTACCACTGAGCTCACGAGTTAGGAACGGACATTAGACACTCGAGCCGCACTGGCGAGGTGGGACGATGACGGGAGAGTAGGAAGAAACGCACCCTTTTGATCCTGCGCGGTGGGCGGAGATGAGGGGGGATCGCAGCCGGTCTGCAGGCCGCGAAGACAACGCGTTCGGGTTAAGAGCACGAGGGCCACTTTATTCAGTAGAGGGGCCTCTTCGATACAGCTACATGTGAGGGCCACAGGGGAATCACAGTCGTCTCTAATGAGGTTTAGTCCCGAGCTTTACTGGGTTCACTGCACACTGAACTTATCAAAGAAAATAAAGGCATAAAAAAATCTATTCGTCATCATCATCACAGGCACTATTGTAAAAAATGGACATTTTTAGTTTGGTTCCTATCAAATAACGTCACATACATGTGTTGTTTAGTACTAATTGCAGAATCCACCACCATCTTTCTAAAGAGCACCACGACATTTGGATTTAATCCAAAAGCTAAAAACACGGACAGCTGTTTGTGTGGAGGGACTTTCTGCTGTCAGCGGATCCTTTGCAGGAGAATAAAGAGCGTTTGGTGAATCCGTGTCTTAAGCTGCCCTCCCTCAGGTCACAGGTCGCCAGCGAGGGCCCGGCCTACGCTCACGTCTATTATTAACTATTAACCCTTTCAGCGAACTGTGCACAACTCAAAAGAAACGGCTTTCCCACTCAGCGTAGTTTTCTTTGGGGCTGCAGATGTTGTGATGTGACGTTGAACATAAAAGAGGAAACCACCTGCCGAGAAAGACAAAGACCTTACGGAGAGCAGTTTCTTTCTCTTCTATTGATCGCGCAACAATTTGATATCTTATGCTGACAAATACATTTCATTTATTGACCAAAATAAGACATCTGCCTTTAAACCTTGTTTCCTTGAGACGGTCACCATCAGACAAACATCCCCAAATGCACACAGCTCAGCAAGCCAAGCCGTCCATTAAGTAACTGTAAATTGGAAAATGCTCATTCTTCCATACAGCAGCTTGCAATTAAATTCAGCAGGGTGCCGCCCCCCCATTTACCTGCAGCAGGCCACACAAAGTCAAACATAATGCTACAGACAAGCTACAGACTGCGCATGAAATACATTATTTTCAAAATGGCAGCTAAAACTGATGCATGTCATCCAAAAATGTAAGTGAGTTATGGGTCAAGAAAAACCAAAGAGCTATTGTTATTCATGGGATTTGATTTGAGGGTCAGACAAACACACCAGACTACTGAAGCCTGCAGAAAGATAAAGAAACGTGATCAATTTATTCCCCGCGATTCACAGTGAAAACCTAACAGCGTCGACCGGTGAAAGGCCCTTCTTTCTTCCTCCGGCTCGGAAGCACAGTCGAGCTTCGAACTGCTGCCGCCCCACGTCTGTCTCAAATGTGACATGTTTCCACGGCAACGGCACTGTGTAACAAAATCGCCACAGGAGTTAAGAAAAAAGAAAAAGCCGCAATCTCGCCGAAGCTCAACAGAAGACGTGGCCCCGCGGGGCAAAAAAAACCCAACAGCCATGTGCCCCGGCCGGGCGGATAGGACGCACTCAACGCCACGTGTGTGTGAGAGAAGGTTTGGCATCTTTATCGGTTGGTTCAACGCCACACAGCTCGGACATCTCTGTTTTTTTATTTTTTATTTTTATTACATCTTAAGTACTTTGCTGTCTGAGACGACACAAAAATCTCACCCTCAAATCACAGCGAATCGGTCTTAAAGACACGACGAAGGTTATCATTCACTCCTGTGACGTCTGATTCGCTTTAAACTGAAAATGAACTGCGGCGGTAATGACAATGACAAAACAGAGCAGTCGGCAGGTGTTGAATGGATGTGGGGGAGCAGAGACGAAGGCCTGTATCATTAGGGATTAACCTCGCCACAGGCTCTACAAATAGACTGTCTCCACCTATAAGCCGCCAGCGCGCAGACACTTATTTGTATTGCCAGGTTGCTGCTGCAGCGAAGAGAGAAGACAGTTCAAAGAAGCTCAGGCGGATCGAGACTCCTGTGAAACAAAATGCGATGCAACATTTGAAAGGAGTGGGGAGGTGTGGGGTGGGGGGGGTAACATCACAAGCTTCCACGCGCAGAGGTTTTGGCTAAGACGCAGCTTGGCAGATTTATGCATGGATCTGGAGTATAAGCTGACAAACCATGAGGAGCAATCGAATGGACAGAACCCAGACCGATCACAACCTCAAACCGGTCCAGTTCAATTAAAAACCAGTGTAGAGCCATTACATATTACATTACATGTCATTTAGCTGACGCTTTTAGCGACTTACATTACACTTTAAACCCATGGCTTTTTTACATTTTGCCCAGGGAGCAATTAGGGGTTAGTTGTCTTGCTCAGGGACACTTCGACTTGAGACATGGGGCAGCCAGGACTCGAACCACCAACCTTGCAGTTCCCAGCATCTGCTGCACCGAGCAACGGCTGGAGGTCAATCAAGTGGTTGTGAAATAAAATGAGTCATAAGCTCACAAAAGCCTGCAGGTGTATTCTGACAATAAAGAGAGAGCTTGTTTGGTGATATGGATGTCAGAATTTGAAAAAAAATTTAATGAATGAAGGCTAATTTGCAAGACGTCGTCTTTGGTTTTAGGACACTTTGCTGACATTTAAAAAGACAAATTATAAATGGTGTTTGTGGACTATGTGTTCTACATTTTGTAATACCAAAATCTAAATAATAAAGCAGGTAAAGCCAAATTGCCAAAGCCTAATCAATAAGCTCATTGACTGGAACTCATTCAGCAACTATTCATATCAAATTACGAATCATTTCATTCATCAATTATGATTTTTTTTGCTTTCACTTTCTGAGAATTTGCAGATTTTCTTGGCTTGAGGGTTTTGGATGGCTGAACAGAGAACTATTTGGAGGCATCACTTCAGGATCTGGAAACATGTGATGTCAGTTCCCCAAAATCAGTTTATAGAAAAAAAGTATTAATCTATTCAGGGACTCATAAAAAAAAGAAAAAAAAGAAGAAAAAAAAGGGACTGATTTGGAAAGTGATCTTTGTGATGACGCTGACATCACAACATGAACATTGCACTTGTTGTTGCATCAGTATTATGGGTGTAACCACATTTATCGCACAATGTACAAAATAACTCCAAAAAAATTAACTTAGTATTTTATTTAAATAAAAACTGGATTAAGATACTCCACCATTATATATTTTTAAAAAGAGCATTATCCGACCAAAAACACTCAAGTACCCTCAATCAAACTATATTGTTAAGTGAACAATTCATTATACTATGTTATCATTCAATTCATCTAGATTCCAGATGAATCAACATGGCGACATGCTTTTCGTTTTTTGGTTGAATTTCTAACTGTTGGTCAAAAAGAAAGTCACGTAGACACTTTGGCATTAAGTAAATTGTTATTGATTAACAGACACTGGGAATAATTGTCGGCTGCAGCCTACCCCCGAATACTTAGCTTACAAGATGAAAGTGAGATGCTGAAGGCGCTGTAACCATCTCTGCTCAGAAGACTGCACTTTCATCAATAGAAGTCTTTAAGTGCAGGAGGACCACATCTGGCCTTTCAAAGGACGCGGAGGGTGTCGCTCTACTACAGTCTGTACAGCAGCTGGCACAAAGGAGCTTATAGATCCACAGAACCCGGGCAGGCTGTGGAAACATGGGGAGGGAGGGGGGGGGGGGGGGGGTCTAAAAATAGCTAAAGACTCTGATCAATAACTGCTAGATATGTTCCATCTCTCCTTTATGAAGGTAAATAAAAAACATTGTGTGAGTGCAGCTACAGAGCAAACGGGGGGATGCGAAAGGCAAGAGGCACAGATGGGAAAGTGGAAAGTAAAAAGTGCCAATTTGAGCTACAATTTTGCATGATTGTAACGAACCGAAGGACAGCGTGTTCCGTTCTGTGCTGGGAACATTACCATTGCTCTTAAAGTCTAATAAAACACTCAAAACCCTCCTCGGATCAGCTGGGAAACGGATCCCATCAGAGCAGATTTTTGAAATTGTTGCATAAATATTCAAATTATACATAGATAGAAGTTTACAAAAATAGTTGTCACACAGTAAAACAAAGTCAGGCAAAACCCATAACGAGAAAATTATAATTTTAAGTATGACACATACTTATGTCATACATAAAATGATAATAAACGTAAGTGGTCTAAGTATAATCTATAATAATGAATCTATAATAATAATTAATAGAATAATAATAATTAACTGGTTTGGCATGTTTAGGAATTCCTCCTTGTATGTGAGTAACGGGTCGGAAGCTTTCCTCCACACCTGGACGCTCTGACGACATAACGGTTAACGTGGAACCGGCGCACCGTTACGCGGTTACTGTGCCCGTATCAACAGGTGAAGTGCGTCACGCAGGTATTAACGAACCGGGCAGGTTGGCGTCGCTTCGGAGCTCCGAGCCTCCGTCAGGCGGCAGGTCAACTTTATTTAATCGTCCATCACCGGCGGAATAACGCGTCCGCGCCGCTGTCACGTTCACGGACGAGCCGGAGGAGACCCGGCGGGACAAAGTGCTCTGCGGGATTTTCTACCCCCAAAGTGTGAATCAAAACAGCCCGGAGAGAGAGCCGCCCGCCGGTGAGCCTGCTGCGCTCTGCGGTAAAACAGCACCGAGGAGGCGGGTTTTACAAAGTGAAAGGCGCCCCGGTCCCGTTCAGGTCCCGTTCAGCCAAAGCAGCGCGTCTCAACATCAACATAAACATGCCCGTTAGAGCTTTCGCGCTCGCGGATTCCAATTAAGTTGCCGATGTCTTTGAACGATAAACATAAAATTCCGATAATATCTCAGCGTCCCGAGGCTTAAAATCACTGACGCGTTGTGTCACTTGACAAACGGACGCTCGCTAACCGCGTTAAATTGTAATGATTTCAGGCTGCGCCTTACCTTCAGTTCCGCACTCTCCGCCATCTTGTATTTTACTTGCGCATGCGCAGTGAAGTGCTGTCACATGACTGGGACGCGCAGAGCTGCAGCGTGAACGCGCACACAGCCTGAGGGAGGCGTTCACGGGCACAAATGAAAAGAGGAAAGAATGTTTGGAATTCTTTTGTTAAAAGAAACATGTTAATAATTACAATGGTAGCACTGATAATTATAATAATGAAATTTACTCACATTTGTTATTTAGATTCGAATTGTTGGACACAAATTGAACAAATGTTCATGCAAGGATTTTATCTATAAAACTCGGGTACTTTTCATCTGTTTCTCGGTCTTCCCCTATTAAAAAGGCTGCCATGAAATGTTTTTCAACCTCTCCTGTAACAAATCATCAAATAATTCCATTATGCTTTTTACAACATAAAATAAACAGTATAACTCGAGAAAGCATCTCTGGTATTTCATCTTTATCTTGTTTACCATCCTAAAAAACTGTGCTATAAAGGCCACACCTCAACATCCTCGGCTCATAATCCATCTTACAGTGCTAACTAAAGGCCTACAGAGACAAGTCGGACACAAATCTGGCACAGATCAGTCCGCATGTGGGTTGAATCATTCGTCACTAACAACAACTCAAATCTATTATTATAGTCTATCTAACTACTGGCAATCAATTCCTACCGTCTGGATGATTATAATAAATCTGACATATTGCAATAGATCCACTCATCTTCCTTAAGATCTAATGGAAAAAGTCTATATAAATAATGCACATAAATAATGTATTTGTCATAGGCTTGTGTTAAAAATGGACTCTCTGTCTTGCTACTTCATCCATACAAAATTAACTATTTTCCAAATGCAATTTTCACACTTAATCACTTCTATTAGTTAAAAAAAACATAAACATTTTTGGAAACACAATGTTTCAAAGAATAGAAGAGATGGTATATTTAGATTTGAGCACATTTCAACAAACGATTCACGTGAATCTCTACAAAGAACAACCATCACTGCTCAGCCTGTCTTCTCAGCTTCTAAGCTGACATTAAATCTATTTTCAGAAGAATGTGAATGGCTTAAGGAGACAAATGGTGTGCAGAGTGATTCATCTGTTATGTATGAAGAATAAAAGAACAACCTTCAAACTTCAGTCAGGTGTTATTAGGCCTGCTCAGGTGGCTCTGACCTTTGACCCCCCCCCCCCCCCCCTCTGGCCCCCGAAAGATCAGGGACAATTCCAAGAAACGTCTGTAAGACTATCACACACGTGAGCTTGATTTATTTTCTCAGAGGATCATATGTCTGTGTATCAGCTGAATCGACTGTTTTCTCAACTTGTGTATATTAGTTTAATCATTCAAATCTTAGAAAAAAAACAATGTTCCATCCGCGTACCTTATTATTGCAATGATTATAACATACAAATACAACCTTTCCTCACCCTTCAAGATTAGTTGGCAGGAAAGTAGCGACAGCTGTTCGTGAAGGTTACATGATAATCCCGATGATTATATCTAAGGGAAGGATTTTGTAAATATTAAGGCTGAACTTTTCTAATCAGCCGTGCTGCCCATCAGGAAAAGTTCATGACCCCGTAAAGTATTGGGCTTCTCATGAGAAAAACATATCAGCACACGCAATGGTTCAGTTCTCCAGAAGGCACTGAGTGCATTTTGATTGGTTCCCCAGAGGTTTGTCTTGCTTTTTATATATCTTAAGTTTCAGTGTACTCATGATGGTGAGCACGACCCCGAGGAAACAGCTTTTATGCCATTATGAAAAGATAGCCCTTAGTTTGAGGCCATAGTTCATTTTAACAGAAAGCATGTGTCAAACTTAAAACGCCGGTGGTGCAACAGAATGCATCATGGGAAGTGAAGCATCAAAACTGAATAACTAAGATTTAATATTTAATCTTCAGACGAAGAATAATTCAATGAAACAGTATTTGGAACCTCTAACTGTAGCAAGACATCTTAAAATGGTTAAGGATTTTGTGAGATATGTTGAGGGAATTGTAGTAAATAAAACCAAAACTGAAATTGAAGACGTTCATCTCTTGGAGATCTCATTAAATGCCACTGCCTTATTTACATAACAAACTTTAAATCCAGACCGGACAAAAATCCCCACATACAGAGAAAATACAGATTATGACAGAAGTAAGTCAAATAAAATGATGAAGCCAGCAGGTGGCGCCCCATCATTTCAAATGAAGATGAATCGGAGCGGGTGAACTCCAGCCTCCACAGCCTATTGATTCCTAAGCAACCACATCTTTGCTTTGGGGTATCACTCCAAACACATTAGGCTACATATCCAAATCCATTACGTGACAAGGCTCTTTCCCTCGAGGTTCACACAAAGAATCGATTGACAAAGTTCTGCTGCTCGTTTCGTACAACAGAGAGTCACAGAGGTTTTATTATGTCATTATGTATCGCTGCCATCTGTTGTATTGTTGCTGGCCAGCGAGGAGACAGGTGTCCGCTGACCACACATGTTTAAACAAGCAAATGTCAGTTCTACACACTGCAAATACAGGGAGAGACAACATGCCCAGCGGGGAGATAAAGCATCATTCTTCTTTAGAAATGCTCGATATTATATTACATATGGAATGAATGTGTAAATTCACTAAATGTGTATCGGCAGCGAAAAAACAAGCAAACAGCTGATTACTTTAAGAGTTCTAAAATGCCACTGTGAGCTTTATGGGTGAAACATTAGTGCTGTACATGTAATTCTACCAACATACATATATCGCGAAATCACTATTAATATGTCACGGCAGCGATGTTCTCCTGTGCCTGCGTGGGTTCTCCCACACTCCACAGACATGCAGGTTAATGGGTGACTCTCATTGTGTGATTGGTTGTCTGCCTCCATGTCGGCCCTGCGAGGGACTTTCGAGGCCTTCTTCAGGCAGTTTAATGTTTGACTAAATCAATTATTAATTTAGAAATTTTTGTTTATGCATATTTTCTGCTATGTATGGCAAAACCAAGTAAACCAACAACGGGGCATCATCATTTATTGTTCTAGTCTATTTCAAATGCCTCATATTCATGCATTGTGGAGAATGGAGAACATGGGGGACACTGAATGAGCGCCTTAAGTCCTACTTTAAATTTTTACATTTGCATAATCATGAAATTGTCATTGAATAATAGATCCTGCCAGAAGTCAGAGGCTTTGACGCCTTCTATCCTCAATTGCATTTCAAATTTGGAAAAGCCTGAAAGCACCTCGCACAGAAGATCACTGAACGGGCGTCCCGGCAACAGGAACATGTGCCTCAGGGGTCCGGGAGCAGGCCGAGAGGTGCAAAACAACCACAAATAGATGACCAGAAGGTAATGCAAGAAGGGTAAAAAAAGAGGTGGAATGGCTCAAAGAGACACAAAACGGTCACGTAGAGAACCAAGATGACCACAGCAAGAGCAGACTGGCCCAAAAAGAGGCGCGAAGCCGCCGCAAAGAGAAGCCAAGCGGTTAAAGGGAGGAGCAAAAACAACAGCAAAGAAACAAAAGGTAAAGCTACTGAAAAGAACTCAAAGGCACAAATGCACAATTGAAAGAGACACTGAACTGCCACAACGAGAAGCAAAGTGATAAAGGAGCAAAACCTGCACTAAAAGATGCAAAATAGCTGAAGGGGGATTAAAAAAAAAAGAAATCCCCACAGAGATGCAACACACACACACGACTTTATGGTTTTGGCCCATTTTGCGTCTCTTCGAATGTTTTTCTTTTATCTTTAATCTGTCTTTGTGAGTCTTTCTCTTGTATACGAGCAGGAGAGGGGGGGGGATCATTTACAAATCCATTGCCAGAGTCATTTGTCACATAATCAATCCACACTTTTCACCACATCATCACCTTTCATCAGACCTTTTCTTAATGACGAAGAGCGAACTAAAGAGCAGATCGCGGCAGTCAATCATCCCCACAGTGGCTCGGCGCTGTTCATCTTCTCAGGCCTTGTTTGCCGTTCTGAGGCAATCACGTTGGCCGAAAATTAACATTCACCGTGTGTCAGTGACATTATGAGAGTATCTGTCTCCGTACAAAGCATCCAGGGACGAGGGCCTGTAATCAATATCTATTAGTCCTCCCATCAGAAGAATGGGACCTCAGCATTAGATCAGCCCGCTCCCCTGACGCGGCGTCAAACATTATAAGCATGTAGCCGCCTAATGAAAGAGATCACGTGGAACTGAAATGGGATGAGAGGAAATAGGATCCATGTGAGGAGGGAGCTCTTCTTTGGGAGGCCAGCAGGTGTCAGGCTCACACGCGCCGGCCCAAAGAAAACACAAAGCGGTGCGGCTGTAAAGCAGAAAGTGGCTTTCACGTTTTATTGATATCGACATGGGTACACATACGTAAATGGGTAAATTATGGGTCAGAGAAAATCAAACGCAGCTTGTGTGAGCGGCGGATTACACACACGTCGTACAAACAGTGTCTTCTTCTTATAAAATCACCATCAGGTGACGGGAAAAAGGTTTTGGTTTTGTCTGTTGTGTCACAGATGCATGTAATGAAAGAAAGAACCCTGAAACAGAGACAACCATGGCATCAAATTGTGTTAAAATACTCAGTCTGAACTGTACATGATATCTAGAAATGGCTCCGAATGTTTTTCTTTAAAAAAAAAAAAAAATGATATTATTATTATTATATTTTCTCTTCGATGTTTGCGCGTCAGAAAATCTTTCAGTGTCGAATGTGAAACCTGTCGAGGTAAGTGCTCATAATAATTGAATAATTGACAAAGATCCTATAATTTGGTATAAGACGGCGTGTTCAAATTCAGAAAGGTTTCCCATTTAAAGTGCTTAACAGCATATACAGTGTTACGAATAAATTAAACAAAAGACAAGATAAATAACAGATATATGTAAAACCTCATCCAAACAAAAGCTAAATAATGGGGTACATTTTGAACTTAATATCACATTTATACGAGCCATTGCACATCGTCACGTGATATATATACATATATATATATATGTATAAGTATATAGCATTGTTTTTTCTTTTCAGCCTATAGCTAAGAGCAGCCGGCTTTGATTCGGAGACACTCCGTGGTTTCAGCGTTGCAGCTTCAGATGAACAACCAGGGAACCTCGTGTGTAAGATCTCTTTTACTCAAAAGTTCAGTTATTTGGGGACGGGCGGGTTCGGGGGGCTTCGGGGGAGGGGGGGTCACTGCCAAAACCGCCTCAGAGTCTTCACTCAAGTGCTAAAATCAGTGGTGTATTTGTACAGCAGGTTGGTAATCCTTGGGTTACAGGAGGGGGTGAACACACGACGGACCTCTGTGGTGTGTGTGTGTGTGTGTTTTCTTTTTTTTTTTGGCTGAGCTGAGCAGGGGTCAGGTGCAGGTCGGGGGGGGGGCCACGCCGGGCCCCCCGGCTAGGGAGGCAGCAGCGGCGGTTTGAAGGTGCAGGCTCCGGTACACTGACGAGGAGTGAGCATCTTGCAGGAGAAGTGGTGAAGGGCGTCGTGAGCTTCTGGGGAGGAACGAGTCCATCAGTGAGAAGACGCACACACACAAACACACACGCAGACAGACACACACTCTCTCACTCGCTCTCTCACTCGGTCATGTTCAGGTTACAGGTGAACGTCTTTCATTTGATCTAATGTTATAGTATAGGCGCAACATTTTCCCTTAAAACAATACTCACATTGACTCTTTAGATTATTCTTACGTTATAAAGTCACGTATCTCTGCCCTCGTCTGGGTGTCAAACTAAAAAAGTATAATATCACATACTTATATTATCCAGTCGTACGGTGTGTATATATATATTACAGGGGAATATAGATTTGTTACATGCAATATAATTGTCATTATAGAATTTATGGCCCATTTGTGGACCTCCAGGTCACATGTCTCATAAACGTCATGATATTCCATTGCACTTCATCACATCCTGCTTCAAAAAAACATTTTAGTGATATCAGTGGTTTCCACTAGTTTATTTATTTTGGACCGTGTTTAGAGTTCTTGTGTTCGTTGTTAGTGACAATGTTTCCTTTGTTTTGTATAAAAAGACTGAAACATTCAATTCAATCAGCCTGCTGAAACCTCAAATTATCTTTTTTTAATAACAGATGTGGATTTCCCCTTCACTAGTAAAGATGCTCAAAACAAGCGATCCCTGTGAATGGACAGAAAGTACATGGGAGGAGAATAACAACTAAACACAATTATGAGCATGTGAGCGTCGCTTTCAGACAGCCTTGAGAAAAGGTGGACTTTTCCTTCAATGGTGTCTTAGCGCAAAATATATTGATCACAGAGGATGTTTGACTATTAAAAAAAAAAGTAGCACTTGCATATTTATGTTTGAAGGCACAAAATGACATGCGTGTTCCTCTTTTGGATTGGATTAAATTACCTTTTAGCTTCTGCTGTATTGCATAACGAGCCTTTCTCTCTTGGTCCAACTCGCTGCACAAAGTGTCTATTCAAAAATAAATAAAATGAGTCAAAAAAGGAATAAAAAAATAAAAAGATTTAAAAAGAGAAGTTGAGCCACTTAGTTATAGGAGTGTAATATATGCCGCCTGCCCCTGTAGTATTTAGAGTGACCCCTCTGTGTACTTGAACCCTGTATTTTAACTACTGTAACATTAAACCAATCCTTTAGCGCCGGCATTAGTTGATGTCTACTGCATGTAACCGATACAGCACCACATAATGGTCTGACCACTCAATTTTCCAGAGCATGGTTTGGAAGAAAATAACCTTTGCAAACAAAAACAATGAGGTCTTCGGTTTCACCTCCTGATATCTGATAATGAACTGGACAGCGAGAGAAAAATAAATGGAGTTTACAGGAAAAAAGGCATGCAACACATCTCCATTGTGTCAATATGCAAGTGTCACTTTTCCTTTCTTGTCTTTTGTTCAGAAGCTAGTTAGTTGAGTTTGATTGTTCTTAAAATATATATATATTTTTTTTCCCCCACAAACTTAAAGAGCATCGATCTACATCTGCGTTACAGTAATTATCTGAGGAGGCACAAAGCACAGAGAGAGACCAACCTCGAACAATCTGCAGCTGCTGGACCATTTCCTCTCTGTAGGACAGCTCACGCTTCATTTGGTCCTGAAAATTATCTGAAGAGTACCGAAGGCCCCGTTAGATGGAAACTCTCTGACATTGTGTGGGGGAAATTTAAAGACACATTACTGGATTTAACGTCGTCTCTCTGTGACTTTGACTCACTTTTGTCCTACCTTTTAAATGCTGAAATTCTCTCTCCAACTTTTTCCTCAACTCCACTTGTTCCGCGAGCTGCTTCTGCAATTCCTCTGCAAAGGGAACAAAAAAAGAAAAAGAAAATAAATGGGTCTATTCCATCACCAACTTTTCATCCGCCTCAAGAGGGAATGTCATTATTCAACCTCCATCACTGGAACAAAGGGTGACACCATGCCATGTGACACACGCGGGACCTTTGTGGTGCAAAAAAAAAAAAAAAAAACCCAAGCATGCACCGTCCCAAACAACAGATGCCTGCAGAAAAAGCAATGGAACAGGTTCTTCTACCTCCTCATCTACCTGGCAACAAATTCGACTCCACTTACTGTGATGTATTTTGAATTTCTGCCCCCATAAAGATTTATGTGAGCCCAGTAAAGCCACTTCAGGTGCGTTTACATCCTTGATAAGAGCCACCGCGCCGCTTTGCTCTCGCTGGCTGCCGCAGTAATTGCCATGCATTGCCCGGAGGTGGAGACGATGATAATGGAGTCCCGGGGTTTTTCCAAGCGTTGTAAAATAATTAGCTGCCGTGCCTCGGGGTTATGGCTCTGTTCGTTAAAATATTAATAGCCTCTAAACGATTTCCTCTAACAATAATAAGTCAAAACTCCCATATCTCGTGATTAAGTGGTTAACAACTATGGAAACACTTTAGGCCTACAAAAATGTAAATTCACATTTTGCGGTTTTGGCACGTGGCTTTTAGCAGGCCACGGTCCCGTGGCTGCATTTCAAATGAGGAGGAATTCATGTTCAATTTTAATATATTACATATATTGGGTTTTTTTCTCGTTTTTGACAATCAAACAACTCTGGGTTTTCGATATATAAATTCTAAAGTTCAACCTTAAAAGCGATTTATCCACTTAAGTCTAACCAATAAATGGTAAACACCACGGATTTTATTTTTTAAAGTACACCTTCTTTATAAATATTTTTAACACTTTATTAATAATAATAATTCATATCACCAGCTCTTTCTCTCTCTCTTTTATTTCCCTTTGATCCCCAGAACAGCCTCTTACCTTTAGCCATGGTCTCCAGGTCTCTTTCATGCAAGCTGATGTCGATGCGTAAAGCTCCATCGGCTGCACCAAAACAATAAAACGCGTCAATTAAGTCACACATTACAAATACACAAACGCTTCAGAGGAAACACAGTGAGCAACTGCGATGTAAAAATAACAGTTCGATTTGAAATCCAAGAATAATGAGAAAACCAAACTGAATGACGGTAAATAACCTGGTCGGTCCTTGTGCTGCTGGTAGGACGTCGCGTTGCGTTGGTTCTGGGGTTCAGACACGTGATGGAAACCTGAAACGTAAACGAGCCCCGGACGTTTGAGAGGGAAAGAGGCACAAAAACGCCCCAATTTGCATTCACGGCAAAAGCACAAATTGCCTCGATAATTACCGTTGGATGTGCTCGAGTGTCTCGAGCCGAACGGCGAAGGCGCGTTCGGGAGCACGTGGCGGTCCTTTTCATGAGGGTACACCTGTAAAACCAAGCAGACAATCGCGGTTAATGACGCGGGCCAATTAGAGTTCATTTACTGCAGTTCTTCACAGAATCGAGGCCCGTTTTTTTTCTTTTTTTCTTCTCCTTCTTCAAACAAACCAGAAGCGCTGCAATTTTGCTGTGAAGCTGCTGGCGATTTTGAATTCAAAAACACTTCTTTTGAGGTAAAATAATGTATTGTAATTGAGCAGATGCACCAAATCTGCTGTAATGAGAATAAATAAACAAGGATAAATTAGGGTTTTATCCGTTAATTATCCGGATTGAAAATGGACATACATTAGTGCAAACAAATGTTGCTTTTTCTCTCTCTGACTGAATTCAAAGGTTAACGTCGCTCTTGAAGGCGACTACTGCGTCCTATTAACCTTTACTCTTACTAAGCTTAATCGTGTCTATTGAATGCCCGCATTCTATTAATTCCAGACCAATTGATCGTGATTACATTTTTTTTTTATTTTTTTTTATCGGCCTCTTTTCGTATTCTCCACAACTGCGACAATTCAACTCCCCCCCCCTCGGGCACCATTAAAGTTCCATTCAATCGAATCTTACTTCATGAAGAGGAGAGCCATTACGCATCTGTCTGTCCTCATCTGATGACCCGGTGTGCACGGAGTCCCCCGGTGATGCTGCTGCTGCTGCTGGTCCCGGGCTGGAGTTATCCGGCGGCTCCTGGCTCTCCTCAGCACCAGAGGAGACCCGGTCCGCCAGGGGGGAGTCATTGTGGCCCCCTCCCGGGGAAATCTGGATCACTTCCTCCTCGTCTTGTCCCCGATTGGACTCCACGTCTACGTCCGGGTCGTCGTCGTCGTCGTCGTCCACCACGCTGTCTCTGCCTGGCGACACCGATCTGTAACTGGAGCTCTCGCTGATAAAATCCGGGGACAGGTAACCGGGGCGCGCGCCGTAGCCGTCCCGGTTGCCGTAGAGTTTGGCGATGGTCTCCGCGTCTTTCACCACGGGCCTGAAGGCCGAGATGTAGCTGATTTTCCTCTGCGGGGCCTCGTCCCCGGACTTGTCCTCGTCGTTTCTCGCGGAGGAGGACTGGGAGCTGGAGCAGCGCTCTGCGCCGTCCTGCTGGTGGTGCGGGTGGTGGTTGGTGTCTTTGGGCGTGCTGCTGCCGCCGCGGTCGCTTTGGTCCGACAGGTCGACGTCTGCCTGCCGGACGACGCCTGGCAGCAGCTCCGGGAGGGGTTTGGGCGGAGAGGCCGAGTAGGGCGGAATCGGTAGGCCGCCAGCTGTGGGCCAAAACATGGGGAAGGCGGGGTACAGGGCGTCCTTCGCGCCGGGCCAGAACACGCCGGGGACACCGGTTTTGTTCGCATCGGGCACGATGTCGCTCTTTTTCTGACACAGCCCGTAGCTGGGGAAGCCGTAGGGGTGATGCGGGAACAGGGGCGGGGGGATTTTCTGCAGCATGCCGAAGTTCTTGCTGGGCACCGGGATGACCGGGTAGGTGCGCGCGCCGCTCGCCAAACTCAGGTTATTGTTATTTCTCCGATCCTCGTCGCAGCGTAAAGTCTTGTGAGGGATTTCGGGCGAGCTGGTTTGGGCCAAGCTGGACGAGGCCTGCGACTTCATCGACGAGGACATCCCCGACCCGCTCATGGGCAGAGTCCTCTTCCTGCTCCCCCCGTTGAACATGGCCTTTACATCCTCCCACGCGTGGTGAATGTCGTCGGATTGTTTTTTGTCCGTCAGTTTCAGGTGGCGTCTCCACGAGTTGAAGTTGGCCGCGTCCGGCTGGAGATACTTGGACTCCGAGGTGCGATGAGAGTGGAAGATGAATTTATTCGGGGAGAAATACATGTTGCAAAAGCTGCACTTGATGCACTTTGCTCTGGAGCTGTTGTATCTGGCGGGTATGAAGCTGCCCCTGGAGCCCCAGGCGCAATCGTGGGTCACGTCAAAGGCGAAATTTTCCGGTAGCTTCGGGGGGCTGTGCGCTCCCAGGAAGGACTTGCAGAGCCTCTCGGCCTCCCGCTTGGTGATCATGCCGCAACGCCTGGAGGAGATGGGCATGGCCCCGGCGCGCCGCAGGAGCTCCAGCTGAACGGGGGTGCACTGCACGCAGGTGATGCCCAAGGCGACCCGGCGGTTGTGTATCTCGTTGTAGCTGTAGTTCTTCAGCAGCGTGTTAGAAATCTGCGCCAGGCAGAGTCTCTCCTTGCCGTCTATGACCAGACATACGATGGGCACCCCGTACAGGGCGGTCTCACTCACTTGGTTCGGTTTGAGGGGGCTGGGGCCGGAGAAGCTCGCTGCGTCGTGCTTTGAACTGGGGGAAGAGCTGGCCTCTCGTCCAGCGTCTCGAAGCTGCTGGCCGGGCATCGACTCCATCCCTGGAAGCCTGACAGTCAAAGAGAGAGATGGAGTGAGTGAAAAATGTATACATAACCGTTTCCAATGCGTCGGTTTCAATTATTTAGATGGCAAAAAACAGGTGGGCGAAAAAAAAAAAAAAAGTAATACAAATGTTGAAGAAAAAATTGCTTTCACGAAATTTGAAAATGTGAAATTAAAATTAGGAAATATTTTCACGGTAACAAAATTAATAATTGTTAATTACATTAAATACTTAAAATGCCTGGCAATACTAATGCCATTTGTTTCTAATGTAAATCATTTAGTTTATTAGCCCGTACAAATAATGATAAAGATTCAGAAAAAAATAAAAAACAACATCTTGAAAGTGAAACTGATGTCAGACGTCATGTCTATCGTTCCTCGCGTGGGTTCATTCATTCCTCGGTGTATTGGGCCTCCTCTCTCGGGTTATCCGGGTTCCTGCGGATCTGCTGCTCCTCTTATCTTCAAATCGGCTCAGTCACTTATGGGGCAACTGCTTAAGGGTCTCGTAAGAACCTTAAACGCGGATAAGGACAGAAGGAAAAGGCCGCCTGAGCTGCGCCAATACGCTTAGCAGAGAGGAAAAGAGCCACTAAGCTGCTTTCCTGGTAATTACACAGATCCACGAGCGCATCTTGCCGTTTGTTTATAAAAGACTAGCCCTATATATAATTAAAGCTTCTGCGCCGATTAGCCGCAGCCAGTTGCACGGAACTGGGTAGAATCGGGCCTATCTGACGCTCATCTGCGCATACTTCGAGGGCGCTTTAGTAAACACGCGCAAACAGCCCGCGCGAGCCGCTTTGGTTTATTGAGTTATTATTTGTTTCAAACAACCGACACGAATACAACTGTTTACGAGTGATCGACCAACCGCCACTCAACGAAAATTTTAGTCTACGTTTTGCATCATAATATATATTTTTTTAAAACGTACCTTTTCCTCCGAAAAAGACGACACTCCAACAAGGTTTGGGATGAAAATAAGGAGGAAAAAGCAGGCCGCAGGAGTCCAGAGGGGGACGATGCTACAGATGAGGCGGTCTGACAGAAAACTGAGCCGGAGTGTTTATTTCAGGTCATTTAGTGCAGCGGGCAGGACCTCCATCCCGTTGCATCCTGGGGAGGTGAATGGCGTGTAGACGGGAAGCACATGGCACCTCTCTCTCTCTCTCTCTCTCTCTCCCGCCCTCTCTCTCTCTCTCTCTCCCTCCCTCCCCTCTCTAGAAGACGCGCTGAGCTGCTTGCACTCCAGTTTTGATAATTCCCAAATTTGCAGCTCCGGCGGACAAACACGATCAGAAAGAGAAAGAGATCACGCGTCACGCCGACCCCAACATTATGAAGCACTTCTAGCCGCCCGAGAGCCACGTGCGGACGTTTGCGTCAGCCCGCGTAAATGGCAAAAGAACAACATGGTTATAGGGGGGGGGGGTTAAGTTCAGCTGTCATTTCACCTGCTGTATTATTCCCACGGCAGCGCGAGGCGCCAAAAGGCCCGCTGCATTTATCGAGTTACCCGACCATCTGTTAGGCTTCCACGAGCGGCCGCGGAAATCAATCTGAGGCCCGAGCGAACGAACGAGAGGGAAGCGAGACCGTAATGAGATATGAAGGACAAGACGACAGGAAACACGGAAGAAAACGGAATTCGTACGTATAGAGTCGATGACGCATTTTAAGATCCTTTACGTTTGGGGAGAGGAGGATGATGATGGTGATTATGGCTTGGAGTTTCTCACTATTTTTCTGCATACATAATATTCAATATAATGTATTCAAATAAATTATATATATATATAAATAGATCTAAAGTATAATGTATTTATAGGCCGATTGGCTGGCCGTGGATACCTTGATTTATTATTAATTACCGGATCGATTGGCTGATGGCTCAACCTAGATGATGGAGGAAGAGCCCCGCCCCCTTTACCACACGACTCCACCCTTTCCCTTTTGGCTGCGGAGTCTCGTCTCCCCGAACCTCAGAGTGTCACCGACGGACCGGGAAGACACTTTCTGGTGATTGATAGAAGACGCTGACCATAAACAGGGAGAGAGTCTTAAACACATTAACGCATAAGTACAGACCTCTTTGACGTGGAGTGTGTGTGTGTGTGTGTGTGTGTGTGTGTGTGTGTGTGTGTGTGTGTGTGTGTGTGAGGGGGGCGGGGGGTGGGGGGGGGGCAAAAACAAAAAAGAATACGGGGACCCTGTTTGACCCTATACTGGCGGGGTGCGGATTGCATGCACGTTTCTGCAAATGCACATTGACAGATTATTAGGAATTGAGTGACGTGTGTGCGTGGGGGTGTGTGTGTGTGCACGCGCGGTTAGGCCCAAAACGTGCGCGTGAAGCCTCCTCAACCTGCAGCCAGAGCTCGCCGCAGTTTTACCTCCCTGCAATATTGATGCTTAACCTGATCCTAAGCGCATCCTCTCCTCTTTCACCACCGAGAGGCTTCCCCCGCAGCCCCCGCCAATAATTACAATTTCATACTGTAATTATTCCTCTCTTTTTAATTATTTAGACCGCCGACCTGAATGCAGCCATTGTCGCTGCTTATTCTGGGGGAAACGTGAGCTGACGTGGCTGGATCAGCAGCGAGGAGTTTTTAATTAGACATTTCAGCGGTAATTTTAGGAGAGCTCTTTATTACTACTGTTTGATACAAATTAGCCGGGGCCCCATTGATATGCGCTCAATTGTTTAGACAAACCTTTGACCTGAAACATTAATGCGCTCAGGTTGAAGTCATTAAGTCCCAACTCACCAGGTGAACCAAGACCTGATGGATTATTTAACACGACACTGGACGCCACTGTGTTTTTGTGTTGGAAAAACATTTAATAAGCGTGTGATTTCTTATAGCTTTTGACTTTTTTGACAGTGGAGACGTGGTGCACATTACGAATATGACAAAAGAAGAGAAGTTCTTCTCCTCTCCTTATGACATTATTTTATTTGGGCATATTATAAAGCTAAAATGTTTATTTTTGGCATTTTCAGCTTTTTATGTGCACGTCTTGCAAATACAACTGTAACTTTATTTGCAGAATCCTAATCGTTAAAGTAAAACATGGCTGTGACGTAGCTCATACGGCGCGTCCGAACTACGGCCCCTTTTTGTGGATTTATTTATTGATTGATTGGTCGTCTTCTCACCAGCTTGATTTCAAGTTCAAATCTCTTATTTAAACGCCATCGCGCCCCGTGTTAATAATGGGAACCAGCGTTTTTTTGTATAAAAAAATAAAATAAATCCACTGCAGGAAACAAAAATGTGTAAAAACAAAACGGGGTGTAATAAAAAGAACACCTTTAGGTGTAGAAGGACCGACGGGGCGGTTAGTTTTTACGCCCCCGAGCACTGATTTACGGTCCGAACGCCCGCGCGGGATTCCAGCTGAAGCGAAGCGCGTTTTGGTTTAATTTCCCAAACACTTGCATTTTGTCAAAAGATGTAAAAAGATAAATCAAGACCGCCTCAATCAGGACCGGTTTAATAACGGCGGCAATTGAGGCCAAATGTTTTATAATTAACAGTTGTATCAGCACCCTATAAAACCATGACCCCTATAAATCCTATTTTAGAGACCAATCAATCCCGCTCCGGGACTAAAGGGCCTATTGATCCCCTGGCTGCTAAACGCTTTCTCCGTATCGCTTTTTTGTTTCCAGTGAAAAGAGCATTTCGATTACACTTTTTATTGAAGGAAGGATTCCACCGAGAGGAAAGCGATGGCTCGAAAATTAAAGGGTGACATTTTAATTACAGGACATTGATAAAGGGATCTGGGTAATGGCTGTGTACAAGCCGGCCACTCACTGTCCCGCCTCGTGTGCTAATCAAGTCGGACTGGGGAGGGAGGGGGGGGGGGGCTCGGTGGGGATTTGGGAATATGAAGGTCCCGGACTGCCAGAAATGAAGACGCGTCCTCAATGTCATCCATTCCAGACACACGATCCCTGCGGGTCACGTGACGCACCGCAGCGCGTCATCTGAGGGCAGTTTACGCGCAACCGGGATCGTCTGTGGCGGGAAGAGCTGTCACAACACGGACTGATCATCATCATCATCATCAATGCGCGAGAGTTCAATCAATCTGATCAATGGCAGGTTAATGTTGTCATGTTAGCCTTATGACGTCATAGGAACATTTTTTTGTTGTTTTTGCAGACAAGGGAGGCAAACAGTTGGGCCTATAGAAACCACTCCCATGTCGGGTTTACGATATTCAGTCTTCTTCAGGAGAAAATGAAAAGGAACTTATTTCTCTCCCAAGTAAATCTTGAAACAGTACTCACACGTTCATGTAAAGGTGGCGAAAGGTCAATGTTACTCCATCTTCAGCTCCATAGGTTCAATCAGCGTTCTGATATCCCACCAGAGGAAACCTATGAAGACACTTAGAGAAAAAACTTGAATCAATGGAGGTCGGCCGAACATCAAACGGCGGCAGAAAGTTGGGTGTCGTCTGGTCACAACTCTTTGTGACGTGGCTGAATCGTCCACCTGTCTCGACTGTTGGACAGATAACCACGAACCTTTGTGACGACATTCCTGCTCCCCAGATGATGTATCTATTTATCATGTTGTCCGCTGAAGCACCCCGATGAGGTTCACTTTTTAGGCCTTGAGTAAAATATCTCAACGACTATTGGACGGCTGGTGACTAAACTCGTTAGTCCTTGACTCTTCATCAATGAGGTTAGTATTTTGCTTTGGTTGATGATGCTGAAGTAAGCATACCTGCTAGAGTATATCCGTCTGAATGTTAACTTAATGTTAGGTTCCTGCTGCCATGATACCATGTTAACGTTAGCTCTTGATGCCATCACCAAAAGGGTTTTTTCCCCCCAATTGGATCAAAATGATTCCGTCTTCCATAAAGAAAAAAGCCATTTCAAAGCGTGTTGCTGCTAAAGAACTGATTGTTCCTCCTCACAACGTTTGCCACTGATGTATACTACAAATAGGGGCAGGTTGTCGCCGGTAATAGAAGTTCAACAACACCAAAAATATTTGCTAACCAACATAAAAATGTAATCGGCGCAGCAGTGGAAAGCAAGATTTCTTGTCTGTTACAGGAGACAAACGTGTTCCCGCTTCAACAGACAAGAAGCTTTACAACGCTATCAAAATTGTAAATAGCCTCTCATTGGCGACGCGCAGCAGCCTTTAGGTTGATATTTTAGGAACAATCTCTTATTGATCCGGCAGCGGGTGTCCAAGGTTGTTTTTTTTTAAAGCACACAACAGTAAATGTGACAAAAGCTGAATGATGTCCTGCCCGGCTGCAGTCTGAGCGCAGGGTTTGGACCCTGCACTTACAAACCTTTAATAAACTCTCTGAAACACAACACACTTTCGTGGCAAGTTGGAGGCAGTAAGTTCACGCGGCGGAGGCAGTTCTCTTTCCCACCGAAGATTCTGGTCGTGAAAGAAGGGACCAAGGACGAGCGGCGTTGTGGCTCGCAGTGGTTGTTACTGCCTCCGGTGTCCCTCAGAAGAACGATTGGGGCTTACGTTGCAGTGTGACTGGGGTCGGCTCGGTGACGGTAACCTCCATCACCAAATTGCTTCATTCTTAACTCGGCGCTCCTTTTGAAGATCAAACAAAGCCGGCAATTAAATCTTGCAGAATCATTTAATGGGGAAGCTTTGAAACACCAGTCTTCCTTGCGCTTTCTGGCGTCTTTTAAAGAGAGTTGATATAATACAATACTCTGCACTGATTGGTTCAGACAGAAGCTGGTGTGAATTACACGGTACAAGGTCTCCAATTGAAGAACGAGGAATGAGTAAGTAACACAATGAAGCTTTGAAGGCCACGCGCCTCTATTCAAGCCCAGTGAGGACAGTGAAAATTAGGTTCCTTAAGAAAGGGAAATATTTTCATGATCTGTGGATTTGCTTGTTTTCTAAGGATTTTGAGTTATAATATATGATTTGAGAAAAATGTAGTAATTAAACACTCACTGGATGGATAGTACGACCATGACACTGAATTACACTTCCAAAATAACAAGCAATTTATGGCTTTGCTATTGTATTGGTCTGCATTCGTTTTAGCTTAATATAACTTTATGAAGTCTAACTAAAAGATAAATTCATCATTTCAAATTTGCAGTTAGACTTTTAAAGATTTGAAAGGGCAAACCTCTTATCAAAAGCAAAAAAATAAAAAAATAAAAGGAGGTGAGTTTTGGAATAAAAGTTCCCCGGATAAAACAAATTAACTTCAATTTCGGAGGAAACATCTGGGATGCACATGAGAAGATGCTTGAAGATTTACATGGTTTAAATGTGAGCAGAAAAACGGCAGTGCAGGACGACTGGAAAACGCGTTGTGTCGGCGTGAAATCAGCTTTACCTTCAAAACTAAATCACATTGAGAAACAGAACAAAGTGAATACATATCAGACTTAGAAAAATGATTATGTTTAAATACTTTTTATTCTATATGTGCATTAAGGTTTGAAACATGTGCCAACACAGATCATGACAGGAAAGGCCACACTAAGGCAGTAATACCACAGCAATAATATTTCTGCTGAGTCCCATCACTGACGCCATGTTTCACAGGAAGAATAACAGGTCAAGCTGTGAGTAAAAAATGGTAATAAATATTTTCACTTATACTGCAAATTCATATCTAAAAAAAAAACACAGGCAAAGAATAGATTTCCAAACAATTAGAGATTTGTCTGAGCTTTTGGGCGAAAGCACATTTGTTCAGAAAAACAAACAAACATTTGGTTTCATTTGAGCTGCAACAACACATTTCACATTTGCAGCCCGACTTCTACGTCTTTACAGCTTCAGTTACATTTAAGGCAAACTTAACGTGAGGTGTGTCCATTTGACAGATATGATTAACAACAGAATGCGCATAAAGATTTGATGTAAAGTCCGGTCTCTCAAATCCGTGTTGGGTTCCTGGACGCACCGGTACCCCGGACGCATCTTCAAACCGATAGCGGAGGATTCCAGATGGCTTTTTTTGAGCTGATTAAACTTCGATTTCAACATTCCTTCCAAAAGCGAAACGTTTGTCCAAAGAGTAACTGTTTGCTCTGTGCACGAGTCTGACAGAAATACTCTAATCACTAGCTGTCACCTGAACATCCAACATTATCTTACTTTCTTTCTTGTTCTGGGGAGAACAAAAAGTAAGTTGACCTTGAGTGAAGATTGTCCTCTATCAGATTCTTTGCCTTCAATACATTTCTGGAACTGACGATACAATTAGCTTGACGTCAGGGTCTATTAACATCACCATCAACACAAACTAAACAGGCACATTTAATATCCATACTTGCATCTTTAAGTATACATATGTACTACATACAATACAACGTAGGATGGAGCTGGGCCACAGCTCCCTCAATGCACGTGTTGGCTCAGAAAAGCACAATGTTCCTCGAGCAGCGAAGATGCCAAACGAGGCTATCCAGAGGACGCTACTCGTCACGTGCATGATGAACCGCCGCTTTGAGCCTTTTCTGGTGCGGATACATTCGTTTCCAGCGATACGCGTCGCTGTGAGCCGCGTGCACTGTGAGCCGCGTGCACTGTGCCCTTGCAGCAGAATAAATGGCCTTTGATTGCACTTGAGCTCTACGCGTTTCAGCAGCTGTGCACCAAGGCCTTGACAAATCAAACCTTTGTGGTTGCCTAATTCGCGGGGAAACCAAGCAGCTCACCGCTCGGGGCGTCAGAGGTCTTTGGTGTGGAGTGCACCGCCGGCATCAACTGATCTCATTGGGCAGTCAAATAGCACATGACCTATCTTACTAGTGGATAAAACAATAACTTACAATATAAAAAAGGGTTGGTTTTTGAGGGATCTTCTGTTTCTTAGTTTGCTATTTATTTTTAATGAATAAGAATTTTTTTAAAAAGTCCCTGAATGAAAATGGAGAACTGCACATTTTCCTTTCTAACTGTTCATTCAGTGGCATTCGACGTCAGGCATCTCCGTGCAAACAAAAAATAAGAAAGGGGAGGGGTTTAAAAAGGGGGAAAAACCCCCCCCCCCGGGGGGGGGCAAAAAATAAGGGTTTTGGGCCAAACGCTAAAAAAACCTTTTTCCCCCCCCCCCAGGCCCTTTTGTTCCCCCCCCCCCCCCCCCCGTTTAAAAATCCACCATTTGGGAAAACCTGGAGGAAAAGCCTCAATCCCAGAAATAAAACCCGGGTATTTTTGGGGGGCCGGGGGGGGGGGGAGAGGGGGGGGGGGCTAATCCTGCTGAGGTAATAAACTTCCTCAGAGGAACAACAGGCAGTCACTCATTCAGAGTGCGGTCAACAGTAAAGATGCTTTCGAGCTGCTCAACTGATCCTTGTGATCGGGACCGTTTGCCTCCCCCCACCAGGCCCGGGATGCGCTCACTGCATTTCGAAATATTCCGTGAGGGCGAAGCTGCGGATGGAGACACACTTCTCGTTTTTTGGGGCTGCAGGGATTAATTGCTAAATTCAAAAGGACGTGAGCTTCCTGTTGTCCCCGGCGCACGAGTGCTGTTAAATAGCGAAATACTCACATAAAGCCTGCAACATCTAGTGATCATTTTTGTTTTTTTTTGTCCCTGTACATGGAGACACGTGTTCAGTGCGCGTGGACGTACTCGGCCCCGGAGCCTCCGATAAGCGTCCTGGGCCGCAGGAGGACGTCAGACGTGTCCCTGAGCCTGCAGGGCTCGTCTCTCCTCCAGACAGCGGCAAACCCACATGGACACCACCTCCGCGTTGCCGTCGTTGAACTGCGCGATGAAGGAATGGTCCTGAGAAATGAAGAGCACAGAGGCGGTGAGTCAAATTAAACACGCACATCTTCAGGGGGAAACGCGCCCATTCATAGGTAGAATCTGCAAAAGTTGGAGTCGCGAACGAGCTGAACTTTGAAGTTATTTAGTAAGTGCTTGAATTCCAAAGATGAACTCGGACGACCCCCTTTTCAAATCCAATGTAATGGGACGAAGCGTCGACGGCGGTTACTTTTCAGACTGAATTCCCAAAACATATTCCAAAAAAGTGGTTTCTTTTTAAACTCTCCCTGAGAGACATAGTTTGGATGTTTTGAAGCGGGCCTGAATGAGGTATTTAACAATAGCCAGTCCCCAACTTGAAAAAAAACACACACACACAGGAATGTCGGACCGGGAACAAAAGGGACGCGCGTCTGAGGACGAGGGCTCGACGGAATGTGGAATGTAAAAGAACGGAAATATCAGGTAGCGCAGGAGCTACGATTTGAGGATTTTCGACGCTTTATCTTGCCGCCGAGCAACCGTTCCGACGAGGAAGTGTAGGTCGTTTCATCCGTCCTCTTCAAATTCAGCGAGCGCCGGTATTGTTCGAGGTCGAATGTTTCAGTCAAAGGAGTCTTTAGAACCCAGAATAATCCAAACTTTCCTTAAGTGCCTCCCGACAACCGCTCTTCAAAACATCAGAACTGTTAAAGCGCTGACAAAACCAATGAGCGCATTTAATTAACGGACTGGAGTAAAGCACATTAACCTTCACTCGCCTGTTTGGATTCATTCGACATTGGGTTGACAATGTTTACGTTTCACGTTGGGTTTATAATTACCGTTCGTGTTTCAATGAACATTTTAGCATAAAGGAGGATCTGATCCTCATCCTACTCCTTATGTATGACCTTCACAATAATTCATGTCAGGAAATGGAAAGAAAAGGACTGAAGTGGTCGTAAAAACACAAATCATGTTCCCGTGAAACTGAAAAGAAGATATTCAAACAGCGATCAAAAAAAGTTAACAACTATTCTGCACAATAACATTTTATTGTCAAACAGATTGGAGCCACAAACATTACTACCCCTTTATGGCAAGTGCTCAGTTTAGTTCCACTTGTATAATTATTCTCAACCCACGAATAAAGAAATAATAATAAAAAAAAAACAATAAAGCCAACAGGTACATCATTTAACCCTCTTAAATATTCATTTCCAACAGCTTTGGTTTTACAGGCTAAACGTTTAAGTGATGGCTTGTCAGGGCGTTTGGAAGAAATATCTCCGCAGTTTAACGATCGACGGGCTTCCAAACAAACGGGTAAAACGAGCCGTGTGATTAAAAAAAAAGTATCTTTGTCCACCATTTAAAAATAAAAATGGCTTTGGCGATGACATCTGTCCTACAGTCTTAATCACAATCGCTCCCTCGTTACCGCCGCGGCGCCCGGACGGCGATGTGCCGCGCCGATACCTCGGTGGGACCGGTCCCAATCGCCAGCCTCATCAAAGCCAGAGGTCACGGAGGTCGCCCGTGGGGGAAGGGGGGGGGGTCAGGGGTGAGGAGCTTGTGAATGAGACACTTCGACGGAGGCCGGCCGTGTATTTCATGCTGGTGTCTGGATGTCCAATTAGATAAACAACGGTTTAAATTAACTTGTCAACACTGATTTCCACGACATCCGTCCCGGAACAACGAGACACCGTCGCGCTTAATAGAGGTTCGGCTCCGCCACCTTGAGCCCAACCTCACACCGTGCCGTGTTGTCGGTTCATCTTGTGCTTTGTTGTTGACTCAGGCTACAAATACATGTATGCACCTTCAGGCTCAAACTGTACAAAATGTCCCCAATATCCATCCGATCCGGACTTTTAAGGCAAATCATTTTGCCTTAACGTTGACGTTGCGGCTCGTGACCTCCCTCAAAGTGCATCCAGATCAGGCAGGAATTTGTCTCCATTCTAGACTTGGTTGGGGCTGACAAATTTTGGGCTAGAATCGGGTTTGCCGTGTGCAGCCGTGGCCTAGTTTATGACAATGACAATTCCTGCACAAGGCCAAAGGGACAAATTAGAGAAACATTAGTATTAGATTTTGGCCAATAAGTGACACGGCATCGCTGTACAGAATGATCAAATATCTTTTAAAACAAGAGACATACTCCAGAGGAGAATATCAGACTTTGCTCATCAGCTGCTCGTTAACTTCGTCCGTCTGAAATTTGGTGAAAAGTGTTGTTGTCAGCTGTTTTTTTTTTTTCTTTCAATGTTAAAATACCCCCCAGCAACACACAAACTAGTGCAGGCAATGTAAGATTAGCATCAAACTAGGACACAGTGGTGGCGACGGTCCGCTCCTCCTCCTGGGACGCTTCTCGTCTATTTGCGGTTGCGAGGGGAAAATGTGCTAAACTGAAGAATATTCACAGTAAAGAAAAATAAAGTCACATGAAGGGTGAATACAATCGGTATCGGAAATACTTTTAAGAAATCTACAGCATCGATTCCTCTAACTTTTTTTCTGTGATAACACAAACCTCGCGCGTTTGGTCCGGGGTAGTTTTATGTCGTCATGGAAACCTTAGCGCATTCCAGCCGGTTCTCATCCTGCACGAACCGCGGAGATTGTGAAGGACTGGGGGGGTGGGGGGGGGGGGCGCCCATCAATCCTGTTGTCCTTCTAATGGGCAGCTGGGGGTAACGCAGTCTGAGGGTAATTACTCTCCTATCACTGTGAGCGCGTGTGTGTGTGTGTCTGTATGAGACGGGTGGAGTGGACGCTCCTGGGTGGCCCTATGTGCTGAATACTCATCTCATCAATCATTCTCCCCTCCCTGCCTCTGCAGAGAGGGCGTGATACAGAAATAAAGAAAGAAGTCCTGAGTGATAATTCTCAGATCCAGCTCGTCACCTCTGCTCCACGAACTGAAGCCCCCCAACAGGCCAGAGACCACCGCTGGAATCTGACCTGGATGAAGGCGCGTGGCTCATTAGGCCACCGCCATACACACACACACACACACACACACACAAAAAAAAACACAAGTGACAGGACTGTAGATAGAAAATGAATAAAACGGAGAAAGATAACTAGAAAGGCATACAGGGAGGATGTAAGACCTAAAAGTGGTTCATTTCTTGATTTGAAAAAAAAAGCCACTTATTGGACAAAAAGTCAAGAAATGTCCATACAGTGGTCAGAAATATGAAAATCTAAACTAAGAGTGTCATGGTCGCGAAATATCATCATCATCTCTCATTGTTTGTGTGCATTAAAGCAGGTGAAACAAACAGGTCATTGAAGGTGTTTGGACGTCTGCTGTAGCGGTGCGTGGACAGAGGTGAGAAGGGGAAGGACTCATTTAAAAGTCACATTAATCACCGTCTGGCCACATCAAAATGGGATAATCACCTGCAACTGTGCTGCTCAAATAGAAACGGCCTAAACCCAGGGGAAATTCTACCTAACTCTTTAATTGTTTGAAGCCTTTGACGGTTCCGTTTAATCTAAGATTAATTCGTGCGATTTTAAGTAAACTCTCCGTTATGAATAATCGGGTCAAAAGAAATTAAAAGGGGTTGAGGGCAATTATAACGAGCGACTGGTCATCACCTCATTAGGACGGTGTTGGCGGAAACGCGGCGTGTTTGTCAGTGTGTGTGTGTGTGTGTGTGTGTGAGACAGACAGGGAGACAGGGACAGGAAGTAGAGAGAATAACTGGGTCTTTACAGATTTGCATGCTAATCACTCACTGCATCTAGAAACTGTCTGGTATTGGTGGTTTGTATGAATGAACTGTGTGTGTGTGTGTGTATGTGTGTGTGTGTGTGTGTGTGTGTGTGCGCGCTTTGGTCAATCGGAGTGCAGAGGAGATGAAGGGACGTCTCTTTGGAGAGTTACAATGCTCTAAAGTTAATGGTCCAAGCAACTAATGCCACTTTCAGATGTATCTGCTGCTTGTGCACTTTCTCCACATAGCCAACTGTCAATGGGCCACAAAACTAAATGTTAGCCACCGAAACGGAAAGACGCAGCCAAAGCAAATAAATGAAAAGGGTAGTAAAACAAGGGAGCCAAGAGGCGCAAGAGGAAGCTTCACTCTCACGGCCTCGTTTAGTCCCCAACCAGGTGGACGAGAGCAAAATGCCCGAGTTGAGCTGATAAATCTGGCTGGTCACCGAGAGAAGATGTGATCAGGGAAGAATGCGTTTCAGAAGAGGCAGGTGGTAGTTGGCAGTGAATGTAATATCTGTAGAGCCAGTCATCGTATACTGGAAGACAAAACGTCTTAAACCTAGAGACATTCTTGTTGCAAAATAAACAATGAATCGGGTACTAATCATTTAAATGATTACCTGACTATTCAACACAAACAGACACCTGAACAAAAAGAAACCTTGAATTGGTGAAATCAAATATGTTGGATTGATAGAAAAGTCATAATTTCTCCAATATGTTTTTTGTACGTGTGATCTTGAGGACGGCTCTGGTTCAAAATGGCGCCACTGTTCAGCGCCACACTGCAGCCCGTGTACGTGTGAATGGGCTCCAGGGCGACGGAGACCCACGGGTGAAATGTGAAAACATTTTGCAGAGAAGGTGCTGACAGGAGAGTTTATGGGGGGTGGAGGAGAGTGATTGGGCACTAGTCCGGAAAGAGACACGAGATGATACACGAGCATGGACGTGAGAATCCTTTTCGCACGCGTAGCGATGTAAACAGAAATCCCTCCGACGACAAAAGGTGCTGCCAAAGTTTCAGACGCGATAACTAGAACTCACGCGAGACGTCGGCCTGCAAAAACCGCCACACACACACACACACACACACACACACACACACCCCCCCACACACACACACACACGTCTGCTTGCATAATACAACTTCTACATTACATCTTATAGAAAGATAAAACACGCACCCTCGCGGGACGCCGACACGTCAGTGCAGCCAGAACAAACAGAGTATTTAATGACGCGGCAGTTTAAGCCCACCGTGGTATCGATTGATGTGAACTAGTTAAAGCGTGTTTGTGAATAACAAAAATGCTTCTGTAACTGCCGCCGTGAGCGAAACAAACTCAAACGCGTGTTGGTGTGTGATATTCCCAACTAGATTTCGGGCAGAACAGTGAGGCGCAGGAGAGATTTCTTTTGTGAAGACCCGTGGGGCTCTTCTGGTGTCTCCGGGGTTGAAAGGGGGCTACAAAACGTGTGCGTGTGTGTGTGTGTGTGTGTGTTCCCATGAATAGAAAAGCAGAATAGGAGGGCTGCATTCACAAGGGTGCTAAAAGGCTGTGCGAAGGCTGCTGGCTGGGGAACGAGGGGGGGGGGGCTGATGAAATGTCCATCAAATCTCAATCAAAGAACACAACGGTGTGGGTTTGTTATCCTTCTTCTCTCGCATGCAAAAACAAGCACATGGATACACAAAATAAACCACTACACTCTACTTTCTATATTTTTATATTTTTAGCATCTAAATTGAATTAAATAAATAAATACAATTAGCAGCCCCCCCCCGCCCCCCCAGTGGAGGAGAGGGAGGAGAAGGAGGACGGCCCGTTTAGAATGAAACATGCATTAGTATTCGGGGAGAAGAACACCTGAAATGTCCTCTCAGACGGCTCGACGTGCGGCTCTTCCCCAATGGAGGAAAGAGGAGAATGACGCGTGACACACGTGAAGTGATGACAAGCTCGATACAGCCAGACGGACCTCAGCTTGATATTTATTGTCACGGAAAACGGCTTCTTCTCCTTCTTAGTGGAGGCGAAGTCCAATGAACGTCCTTCTGAAGCCGCCTGCTGTAGTGCTCTGCATTGTGATCACACAACTCTTTCGTGCTACCTCTCTTTTGCTTATTTTCAACAGTAAGCGAGGGCCTTTTTTCTCTTTGTATCGTCCTCGTTCTCTCTCCCTTTATTCAAACCGCAACCCTAACTCCAGAAAATGGGTTTTCTGATTAGGAGGAAATATTAAAAAGGTGCACGAACCCTCAAGGACAGAACCCACGAAGACAAACAGCAGCCCTATTAGAACGTCTAATAGGATAAAACCCCAGTGAAAATAATGACGTCAATAAAAGCTAATACAGTGATTAGAGAAACCACAAGCTGAAACCGGAGCCACTGGGCGAGTTTGTATGGTCATAAAACAAAATCATTTGCTCAGGGTCTACACTCTTTGTGTGAAGGAGGAATGACAAAAAGAACCAAAAAAAGGAAGAGCACTGCGGCCCTTTCTGTAAAGCAGAGGGAGCTGCATTAACATACAGATAGAATAGGCAAAGAGTTTTAATGTACTCAGGGAGGAGGTGGACTGAGAGCTACGAGGGGAAAGCGGAGGAGACGGAGAGACAATCAGCAGGCCGGTGCCACGGAGGCAGGCATCCGTGACCTCATATCTCAGTTCAGAGGAGGCAAATGAAAGGCCTACAGGAGGACAGGAGCACAGCTAAAGGAAAGACGATGGCTATGGGGAGATCGGAGAGGGAGGGAGGGAGCGCAGAGGGACCACAGTGGATTTCAAGGAAGTGGGGCAGAGGAGGAGGAGGAGGAGAGCGAGAAAGAGGAAACGCCGACAGGAGCGTGCGAGTGCCGATCGGGGGGTCCTGGTCCCGGCTGTGGACAAACTTTTGCTGAAGGGAGGCTTCATGTCAGCCTCCCTTCAGATATACACCTTCTCCTTCGAGGCGCAACGCAGTGGAAAAGATTTGTGAGGCAAGACGGAGATAGAACCCCCTCCCCCCCCCCCTACAACTTGTTGTCCAGGATACGGAGAGACAAAGTCACACAAAGTCAAAAGGTGTGACTTAACACAAACAACGCCGATGTTTTTCAAAATGAGAAGAAAATCGAGCAGCGCCACAGAACCGCGGGTCAGACATCAAGAGGAGGCGCAGGGAGCGGCCACACGGCGTCTCCCCCCTCCTTCACTCCCCCATCCTGGTGTGAGACCGCGAACACACAATCTGTTAGCAGCTCTGCATTTACACCCCCATCCCCCCCCCAGGACCAGGCCGTCGCTGTCCTTGGTCCTAACACAGAAAACCGCAGCGTGTCGCAACTCTTAAAAGGCAGCATGTGCAAACTGCCGTGGCCTTGTGTGCTAATGCTAGAACAGAGACCCCCCCCCCCCCCCCCCACACACAGAGACCCCCCCCACCCCCCACACACACACACACACACACACCTCCCCCCGACATCGGGAAGGAGGTGTAAGCCACTCGTCCACAGGAAGAATAAAGCAAAGACTTATCCCTCGTCTATAGAACTTTACTCCAATCGAGTAAATACCGAATATCAATCAACTTGATGACGTTCAGCTTCCTTGTTCTCCGACAGGAAGTCTCAGCCGAGTGACAGATGTGCGTACTTTATTAAGCCAGTTAGAGGCGTTTTTAGAATAGGCTCTACTTTTGTTAAATACCTTTCTTTCTTTGTTGATCCGCCTATGGACTATAAAGACTTTGTGTGCAGTGGGTTTGATTTGTTGTAGGTGGGATTCTGTTGTTTAAATATGCTGGAATGCAAACTTTTCTCCCATTGATACGCAGGTTAACAGCAAAATCCTCTGGACCAATGGTTCAAGTCTCAAACGAAAGTGCATCAACATCCAGTATTCAGAACATTAAAAAGGTATTTAATTTGTGTCAATTCTGTTGTCATCTTTTGCGAGTTAAAATATTAAAAAATCCATTTTCAAACTATGCAAGATTTTTGAACTTTGATGAATCAAACAGCACTGGCATCCTCTAGTCTCTTTGGGAAAATACATCAAGCAATTTGAATTATGCTCAGTACAATGAGGTGTTAAAATGATGAAGTTGACATGGGCGCACTATTAACGTTGCGCACACACAAAGACGGGGGGGGGGGGGAAACAAACAAGTTAAAACCATTTCCCCTTTCATTACGGCACAAAACTTAACATTGCTCAATGAAAATGATTTGACTGTGGTACAACAGCTGATCCTGATCAGAGGGTGAAACCAGAGCAGTGAATTTAACTAATTATTGCTGAAGTAGGTCTCAGTCCCACCTCAAGGTTTCTCATTCCCCTTTGACACCTTCCATTGGAAGCCAAAAGGTCATTAAAGTTGCCTCCACGTAGCAATCACAACTTTGAGGCTCCTTGACCCAAAACACCTCAATCATTGGGACAAATACATTTGTAGCTACACACATAATAGTTATGTTTAATTGAATTTTCACTAGGATGCAGGAATATAAGCACCGTCTCTACACAGTGATTCAAAACCTATATTTTCTGGTCCTTGGAACTACTTAATTAAAGCCTCGTTTCAACTCACCATGAGGTTATTCGGGGCCGGCCTTTCTTTGGGTTGCCGCCGCATACTGAAAGAGAGAGACACAAACAGTGTATATGCAGCCACCATTCAAAGTGTGTTTGTCATTGTTTAAGAGGATCTTCATTTCAAACAACATCATTTTCACCTGCAAATTCATTCTCAAGAGGAGCCTTTCACAACGCAGAATGAACCGAAAGAGAAGTAAACACTATTCCCTCACGACACAAGACAAGCGGCTCAAATGGAAGCATATAATTAATATTTATAATTTCCATTAATATTCCTTATTATTTCAGAAAGCTACAACCCAGGCGGATACCGCACTGATGCAGCGGCCGTGTTTCTTTGGGTACTTTGGGGGGGGTGCGGCTCATCGTTAAAACTGCTTTATGTGTGACAAAGATTGGAACAGGACCCTCTAAGAATAGCCTGTGAGGAGATAATGCCGGGGCAGGTACCTCAGTCTGTCCTCAGAGAGAGAGAGAGAGAGATGCCCTGTTTGAGTAAATAAAGCAGGCATGGGGGATAAACAACAGATGGTACAGCCAGCTAGTGAGTGTTGCACACGCACACACACACACACACAGCTTGCATGTGGTTTGGGTGTGTATGTCGATGTTTGTGCAACTGTAAAGGTTACAGGAGGCTAATGAATCAGAGGCAAACACAGTGTAAACATTGTCTTTGTCCTGTTGCATGAGATGAACCCACCATTCCTTGGCTCTTTATTCGACATTAGCAGCGCTGAGTAGAGTAGCCAGAGCCGTCGTGACCGGAGTGCATTAACACACAGGCAAATGCACTTTAATCCCATTGTACTGCCATTATACCTCAGATTCATTGACCGTCATTTGGGTCCACGTCAAATGCAGCTTGTGGTCGTGGTGATTGTTCAGTTTGGCTGCGCGGGGCTCAGGTGGCTCGCTGGCCCCTCGCGTATTAAGCTATTGTGAAGTGCGACACAAACAAATGCACGGTGCGGTCCACAGCCGTTGCAGTCAGATAATAGAGACGCAATCATTTCGGAGGACAGCAAGCGACTCACCACTGAGTGATGAAGTTAACAAACTTCTCACTGAACTGGCCCACAGGAAAAACCGGAGGGTCCTGTGGAGAAGAGCAGAAATACTTAGAAGACAAGTAGCATTTTGAACTGGGAGGACTGGTAACACTGACTGAAATAAATCAATAAACACAGACACGGTACACGAACTATGGTTAAAGTCAACCATCGCTCAGATTAATTTAGTTTGAAAATATTCAAATATGAAATTAAATATTAAAACCAATTTTGCAAGTTCATCTTTATTACTTTACAAAACCCTAAATTTGACTAAAATAAATATAAATAAAAATCTGAATTGGTAGTGCTTTAAAATCTGAATAGTTAAATTAAATAAGAAATTTAACAAAAATAGAAATAGGTTGAGAGGAACGCAGCTACAACTGAAACCAGGAGGATATTTAAGAACAAAGAAACTCCCAAAGCTTCACAAGTTTTTTTTCAGATCAACACTAAATATACAACATCATTTTGAAAGAGAAACCAATGTTGGGATTCTTGTACAAACACTTTTGTGTTCTATGTGCAGGTCACGCTCTCCTCCTTGTGTCTGTATTCATGGGAGCGTTGAGTTGTGATCGACACGCTACTTAATGAACGACTGCATTGCTCTCGTTGGGTCAACCGACCAACGAGGCCGGCGATTCAAAAGGTGAAAGTGCAAATGTCAAAGACACTCCTGTGTGCAGACTCCACCCTGAACTGAAACTAACTAACAACAATTCATGTATTTTATAGAAAATCCGGCTTTTCTTTGGAACGTTAATGATCCATTATGGCAACCGGAGCTTGAACCAAACTGTTCAACCTACTAAAATGTTCTTTAGCCATCAAGTGCCTAAAATCTACTTTAAATATAAGGGTGACCATATTTGTAAAACTCACACTTAATGTCAGAAAATGACAAAATGCAAAATGAACAAGTGTGTGTGTGTGTGTGTGTGTGTGTGTGGGGGGCTTGTGACATGTTGTCAATGGAGGCTCCATGAACCGTGTCGTGTAGAACAGCCTCACCTCATTACTCCGTCCATTTCCCTATTCTCACTGTGCTTCTCTGTTTGCCGCTTGTTAATATTTACTTATTTTGGCGGAAAGAACTGAGAACACTTCATAGCAAAAGCAGTATCAAATTAAAAATCTTAATAAGTAAATATATATTATTTTGCCTCAACTGCAGTGAACGTCAGGAGAATGCAACGAACGGCCGAGTATGAAAAGCACAGGATTCACGTTCGTTCTCTTTGGAAATGTTTTTCTGTGCCACAGATTGTGGAAATGTAACACACGGCATCCTGACACAAAGCATGTGCACAAGACAGATGTTTACCTGAGATGCAAAAGGAAATATCACACACTACGTTGACCAGACAGGAGTAGATCTACAACGTGACACCAGAAGATATCACGAAAAATACACAAAATACTCAGACGTGCACAAACGTCGTAAAGCTCGGTTCCACAAGCAGCCGTTTATTCAAATGCGGCGAATTAAACCTCTTTACATCCGAAGCCCTGCTGTGCCATTAAAAAAACACCTCTGGGCAGTGTTCGCTATTCCTTAATGCTCTGATCGGCAGGCTCCCGCAAAGCATGATGCATGAACCCATTTAAATTAACAAAGGAACGGGTTCCCTTCTAATCTCGCTGCACTTCACAGTGCCGCCGCCGCCGCTTGGATGAGCAATATATCATAGCGCATGCACACACACGCACAGGCATGCACAAACAAATGCCCTTGAGCAACGCGCGCCACGGGCCCGAGTGTACACTCCGTTTAGAGGGAGAGTAGCAAACAATTTACAGCTACTGTACTACGGTGTGTGTGTACACACACACACACACACACACGGTCGGGATCAACTGGACCCGCAGTTGGCGTAAAGTGTTGCCTCCGAAAACTAATTCATGTGTTGTGTACACACATATTTGCATGCACCTTTCTGCAGCCGCACGCACACACACGCGCACACACACACACACACACACACACACACACACACACACATGCATGTATTCATGTCTCCAGCTGAGAGGACCAACGCTGCAGCTTTGATGTGGCAGCAGGCGACGGGCACAAAAGACGAGCAGGCTGATGAAAGTGTCCCCGTGAATTATTCCTCCGGTTGTCAGTGCACTCCACTACGAGACGGCACGCACACAACGAGGGTACAAGGCTACGGGTAAATATACATGTCATTGCCATGAAGCAATTATTAAGCAAAATTAGATCCGTAATTACAGGCTTGGAAATAAAACGGGAGTTCTTTATTAGTGGAGCCACTTGCTATTCAAGTTAATGGCACATTAATGAGGGTGGACAGCAGACAGATGGAGGGAACTTAAGTTTTACTTGAATTATAGACAAATATAAAGTGATGTGTGTGACATTGCTTTAGGGTTTTTAAAATGTATTTCCTCCAACAGCTAGACACTGTTTGGTAAGTGAGGATCGGTGTGTGAATTGGGTAAAATGCAGGTCCATCTATCTTGTAAGCTGTGGCATCCAACCACCTTTTCTCTTCTCTGTCCCGTTATTATTGTATCGTGATGTCATGATTTTCAAGGTCACCCTCCTTCCCACAAAACATTCCCAAATCTTTGTTCCTCCTCTACATTTCCCCATCTGTTGACGCGCGTACCTTCAAATTGCTATCTCCTTATTTATTTGGTCTGTATTTCTAGCATTGTGTGTTACAGAAAAGAAAAGAGAAAAAGTGCGGTAGACTGTTACAGTCCGCCCCCACACCACACGCATACCCCCAGCTACAATAATATTAATGATCCACTCACAGAAGCCTATTACTCATTCAGCCATTAAAGCAACTTTCAAATCACCAGTGGATAAGTCACACGCTACACCAAAGAAAAACATTATGCAGATCAAATCTACAGTAGTAATGAGCTTCGCGTTCTACACGTCAGGTGTGCGTAGATCACTTAAGAGAAACGATAGCTCGAAAAGGAACCGCTCAACGGTACAAGGGAGAGTTCACGGAGCCTCTGAACTCCACAAGTTCGACCAGAACGATGGACGCTTTGTGTAAAGAACCTTTCAGAACACCTGGTCTGCAGCCGGTCACTTGCTTGAGGAGATACGGCTGCACTGTGGCTCACAGTGAGAACGGCAGCTCAGCAGAATAACTGGGAGCTGAACCATTAAATGTTTAAAAGGTCATCAGTAGATTCTTAAAATTAAAACTAAAACAGGGCTTCAATCCGAATACAGGAAACACCAATAATCTAACCGGGATGCTACACAGTTGATAAAAACGTGACCAACCTTCTTCAAATTAAAAGAATTTCGTATAAATGAATTGGTGCATAAATAAGACTTTTAGCCAGTTCAAAGAAGCGCCCCGCATGCCAACCTCCTATTAAAGGTCCTCCAATAGGATTAAACAATCAACAGCTTCCAGTGCTGAGCTGAGATCGAGAACAATTAAAATCAAACATAAAACCTCCAGCATCAGCTGTAACAAAAAGAGATTGTTTCTTGATTCAAGGGGACAACGCGGGCAAAAAGGGTCGTATCTTCTAAAATACGTGGTCACTAGATTACATTGACAGAAACAAAATCTGAATATTGTGTGAATGCAGGTTCAGAATTGTAGTTTATATTTTGTTGTCCCATCTGTTTGGTACAAAGGACATTCTGGATGTTGTATTGTTAAAGGTCTTTTGCAAGACATCACAAGGGGATAGGGTAAAAAAAAATAAGATAGAAAGATGTGACAGTGACGGCTTACATATATATCTTTCTTTTGTGCTACATGTAAAGGGAGGTTTTATTTAATAACGTTATATTTAATACCAAAGACCCAAAGTGAATTTATTTAAAACAGTCTGAAAACTAAAAATGGAAAAGTGCTAAAGGTAACGAGGTTCTGAACCTCTGTGGGTAAACCGCTGCTCATCACCGCAGCGCAGTCCTCAACCTTTAAATTCTATCCGAGCAACTCCATCTTTCTAAAGAGTGCTTATGCGCTGGTCTCTTCCTCCGCAGCGCCGCACCGGCCGGGACAGAAAGGCAGCGCCGGCTCGCTGGGGACGACATAAGCGCTCTCTCTCTCGCCTCGAGGGGGGGGGGGGGGGGGGGGGGAACAGGACGAGGCACCGGAAACATAGTTTTGAGTGATTCCTCTGTCTCGCTGACTAATGAACAGTTCATCCGGGGTCAATCCATTACAACCAAAAGCATTTAATTATTAATTACGACCAAAGCTATAGGCAGTTAAGGGCAAGTGACATTGTGTGTTAAATGTGTGGTGTAGCTGCTGATGGGGTTTATGGGGCTGGTTTGGGCTGCAGAGGTGTTGGTGGCATTTCCTCCGTCAGCAAAGAAATAATAAAAAGTAGAGAGAGAGAGAGAGAGGAGGGAAAGGTGTGATTGCTGTTTTTGATAGGAAAATATGCAGGGTGAGCTTAAGCATGTACAGCGACATCATAAAATACCTTGTTCCTGCATCAAAAAGTGTGTGTGTGTGTGTGTGTTTCTGTTTGGAAATTATGGCATTTCAGAATCAGGTGAAGATCCGTGTAAACGTATACCTGGTGTGATGTATAAGACATTAAAACTCATATCGTCATTACTTGTTTCTTCGGTCTTATGGGTTTATTCCAGCGTTAAAATAAATTACAAGCGATATGTGAAATTGTCGGGAAGTGGACGAGATCGGATGAAAGACGACGTGCCGTTTTCTAGTGTAAACAAAGAAAAAGGCGAGGAACGTTTATACATTTTGGTTAGAATGACACCTCAAGAATTATGCTTGTCAACGTTTTCTTTGTGTTCATGATCCATTTGGCCTATTTTAGCTCCTGAATGGTCCGACTGTCCCATTTCCATGCTTGTGTGTGTTCATCCCTGTTGTGTATATGGTATTATTCCTTTTAGCAGCTAAAGGAGACTCCCGGTGTTCTGCTCTGCAGTACGCTGCATTCTGAGCTTTGTTGTTGTATACGTGCGCGGCGCTCGTGACAGGTCCAACCTCTACAGTAATGTGCGTGTGCATATGTGTGTTGCCTGAGGCGCTTGCATAGGGTGAAGGGTTGAGTGAATGGGGAGAAAAGCCGCCTGAGTGGTTTGCTTCATTAGGAAACAAAATATAAGCTTTCCGGGCCATTAGGACTGACTTTAGATGCAAAAGCACATAAGACGAGGACTCACCTCATCAACGATGCATTGCAGTAACTGGAGAGGCTGCAGGAGAAGGCACACAGGGAGAAAAAAAACATGTCAGCTCAAAAGGAATTTCTCGGCAAACGGGGAAAATCAATAGTGTGATAATAACAAAAAGTATCTACTTAAATTAATCAAATGCAGCAAGCTCCTGTACGTTTTTATTATTCCATAATGGCACCTAACGTAATACCGGCAGTTTCCACAATCTAATATTTCATTGCAAAAATGCAATTTAAGTGTGTGCGTGTGTGTCGGGTTCAAATGAGAGAGTCAACCAAGAGTAACAGACTATCGTGTGGGAAATCTGTTTTCTGTACTATTACAGTGCAATAAAACTCACCATTAAAGATCCTTGATTTTTCTGAATCTATAGGACAAGACAGAGAAGAGGCGACGAGGCAATATGTAATTAGCGTGTCATAATCAAGACGTTGCCCTTTATGATCACCAGGAGAAAATTATTGCTTTCCTCTCGGCAATTTGTGAGTATGCGTTAACGCCATTTACATAATGAAAACACACAAATGTTAATGGCCTCCTTCTCATTTGTGGCGAATGGGGGTACAGCTCCACTGATGCTCATTTCCAGGGTAGCACTTTATTCGTACCCCCCCCAGGTTATCTAGATGCGTTGGGATAACCGCCACAACCAGCCAGCTCTGTAACGAGCGCGCTCACTGTGCCGACTCCTCGAGGTGCCACACCGACAACCAGCCGGCCCGGGATGCGCTGGGTTACCTGCCCGACCGGGACGATGGGGCAACCGGAAAAAAAGACAAAAGACCCCAAATAACGGGCGTTGGGCTTGGAAACCCGTTTGCGTTAGATATCGGCCTCACTGAATGAACGACATCAGCTCAAACAGGATTTGGAAGATTTGAAATGTGACACTGAATGAAAACAATAAAAAGCAAAGAAACCCCCCCCAGGGATGAATTCATTAGAACGAGCAGTTTTCTAATTTCTAAAAAAAAACTAAATTTACATCTCCATCATACGGACTAAATTACACAACCCTGAAAACTAGGGTCAGCTAAATAAGACTGTTTGGTAAATAAATTGCTCATTTCTCCGGATCTTTTGACAGTGCATTAGAGAACTTATTGATTCACTCAATTAAATACAGCTTTTCACACTCTGCAGCTACCAAGAGACTCCTAAACTGCCTCTGGATCCAGTTTTGCCCGAATCAGACACATTAAAGGCAACTATGGAAAACGAATTTGTTCAGAAATAATTACTAGCACCAAATTGCGTGCTACTCCAGGGGTTGAGATTGGATAGTGGGAGACTAACTTATTCAAGCGTAATTGAGCACTTATTCTTCTTGTACGAGGTGGCTTGACCACATATCAAAAAGAGAGCCTTTAAAAATGCCTCCGTATGCTTCCCTGCTAATAGTCTCTCCACTGTTGGCTGATTGTCTGGTAGACGTATTATCATCAGCACGTCCCTGCCGAGGGCTAACCTTGTTTAATATGACGTTCAAACGCTCCAATAATTCATTTCTTCCCATTTTGTCCTGGAAACCTGGTCTGAGAATAACAAAGAAATGGGTGTAGGACGAACCGGGAAGTGGTGTTTGTTGCAGGACGTGCGAAGGGGCTGGCGGTCACGAAATGACGCACACAGCGCTTGTGTAGTAGTCGTGTAGAACGTTGGCTTTATGGGACTCTGACGAATTGTTAAGTCACGATTTTGAGATATCAAATGGTTTCTGTTCACTTCGAGAGCCATTTAAAACATTTTTTTTTTTTTGTTGAAAAATCTCAAGACTGGTTTTCTTCTTTCTTCTTCGATTTTCAAAGGTAAGAACTCAAAGGGCCCTTTGTGATCCAAACACTCAATTTCAAAAAAGGTGAGCATGCATGTTCTGGTTGGGGGGCCCTTACAAATGATCATATTACAATCAAACAGGTTGTATCAATGTCAAAATAAGAAAGGTTATCAGCTCTTTAAGGAAGCCAAAAGCAAGTTCATGCCGGTCTTGTTCATTATTAAAAAATGCGTTGGTGACAATCAGGAGGACGGATGGCGAGGGGTGTTTTGTGAAGCGTTACGTAGATTGAGTGGGAAGGGTCACTTTGTTTTCATGGACTAATCTAAAGCCTCCAGAGGAAGCCTAATACACTTACTAATTACTTGTTCCCATGGAACTGTCTTGTGAAATTAAAGCAAACATTGTTTACAACGCTTTTCATTTTGAGAGGAAGAAGCGGAAGAAGCGCCCGTGCTGCTAGATGGATGCAGCGACGTGTGATGGGAGCTCCTGAAACGCAGACAAATAACTATAACCATAAAAATTCATTTGAGTTTGTGAAAATGTGACAAAGTGCAGAGAAACTAAAAAAAATAAATAAAAAAAAAAACACGGAGCAAACAAATCAATCAGAAGCGACGGCGCCGGCGGCTGTAGACACGTCACATCGGGTCTGGTGTCTTCAAAGACTTTCAGAGCGAGCCGTGCAAAAACTCCATTAACTCCTGACAAAGGACGCAAACGAATCCCCACACGTGGTGAGGAGGACTTAAAGAGACCATCTCTAATCATGACAAATGCAAGGTGATGAGTCCACTGCGCGCACACACGCGCGCACACACACGCACACAAAGGAAAGAACGAGCTGCAGACAGCGACACATTTTACACCTCAAAGCCAAAACTCAACTCTGACAACTCAGTATCTTCCTCACTCTCTCTCTCTCTCTCTCTCCCTCAGTGTGTCCTAAAATGTTCTCGCTGAAGTGTAGCAGTGGGGTTTTTTCTCTCGCATGGACAGCTGTGCCGGCGTCTGCAGAAACGACAGCTTAGGCCCGAGGACGTTGGCTGGCTGCGCCCGACGAGCTGGATCCGAGCGCTCTCGCCACGCCGCTCTGCTACAGCCTGCAGGTGAACTGTCTGCAGTACCATATGGAGTCGGAGGGGGGGGGGGGGGGGGGCAACACTGAGGGGAGGGAAGCTGCGTAACTACGAACTGAGAGGTGGTCCTTATATTTTGTCTAGCCTGATTTTTATTTTTTAAATCGATGAGGTTACCGTTTGCAAAAAAAATACACAATTAATATGATAATGGAAGCATTAAATGAAAGGAAGGAACAGACACGCCCGAGGCCGTAGTCACACAAACGCACCAGACGCTTGATTGTTGTGTGACATTTACATCACTACACAATCCAAGTTGAACACCCCTTTGCTCCATCGCACCGGCTGAAGAAATATTGATCAACAGAAAAATAAATAGCTACATCGCGACTGAATATCACAACCCGTTGGCTCTCAGCGTGATGAAGGCGATCATCTGAACGGACAACGCGTCGGGGGAATAGATTTAAAAGTGGATACGACAAAAAAGCGAAACCTCTTCAGATCGACGGTTAAACTGGACTCAGACAAAGCAAGCGGAAAAGTGATTGGTCCAACAACACATCATACTTGACATTTTTAGGATCTTCAAGTAAAGGTTGGGGACATATAAAAAAAAAAAAAAAAATCCTATACGATTAAAAAAAAAAAAAAAAAAAAAAATGTAATGAATGGATGCGAGGTTTTAGGTCTGATGTGACCTTTGACTCCAATGTTTAGGAAGATTTCCTCTTTCGCAGGAGGAGTAGTGGACAATGAGCAGGGAAGCGGTGAATTATGCAGTCCTGAGGGGGGGGCACAGGTGGTTCCATCACACGCCGCTTTTTTAATGAACCACAAGGAAGCTTCATCTGACCGATTGAGTTGCACGCGCCGGCCCACAGGATGGTCTTAGAAATGATCAGATGTCCAGACTTATTTACTAAGCATCATTTTCACGCCATCACACTGACATTTACATGAGATCCGTCCCCTCACATCTTGGAGTCGGCAGGTGGCCAGGAGGTAACCTGAGGTAACCATATTTAGATTGCTCCGCTAGGGATTAGTGAGATAAACCCATCTTAAAGGGCTAATTAAGACTTGATGGGATTGGGGAGTCACGTCGGAGGCCGGCAATTACATTTGAGCAGGATGTTGACTTAGTGTAATGAAGAAAAAAAAAGAACCCTAACAGTAGATTCTAACATTCAAAAGTTCAAGAGAGTCATACAAATGACCAAAGATTATATTTTTAGGTCAACAGACCTCTTAATCCCATCCAGGGATTTTACATGAATAGCGACTCCAAAAAAAAAGGTTTGTAATAAATTGAGAGCTCATTAAATAGATAATTTACTCCTAATTTGTTTAACATCCCTTTTACAATATATCATTAAAATATGGTTAAATAAATAAAATAAATAAATAAATAACCTTTTAAACACTGACAATAGCTCACCTGTGGATAGGGGAACATGCCTAGCGCCAACTGTGTGAAGAAGAAAGAGAGCGATCAGTGCTGCAGGATATTCTGTTATTCTCCTTGAGACATTTGATGTAATAAAAACATTTGGGAAAAGGTTGTTTAAGTTCAGGGCCGCTGCAAAGTAACGCAATACAAGCACGTTTTTTTCCATCGCCGGCATCTTAATGACAATTCAAGACACAAAGAAAATTGTGCAAAAAGCTACTGATGCATGCGGAGCTTGAGACTTTCTGTCTTTGAGGTAAGCTTACTGCCCACCTGCTGATAACACTTCCCCATCAAACAACATCAGCTATTAGTTAATGACCCCCCCCCCCGATTACCACCTGTGGAGAACAAAATGGAGGGATAAAGAGAAGCAGGACGGGATTGTGCGATGCTTCTATCTATCTGTGAGGGGAGGGCGAAGGGGGGGGGGGGTCTCCCTGACATTTGGCAATTCACTTGGGCTGGGCATTTTTCATCTTGGACAAAGGCAGCTTATTGGCAACATTACGTTATTAAAACATCAAACAACCAACTCGAGGGGCCGCAGATCAATCCAGAGGAAGTGGGACAGTGAGGAGCTTAATGCACGCGTCCACGGCGAGGACGGGGACAGAGGGGGGGGGGGCGTCCACTGCTCTGCGGCTCCATCTTTATCACGCAGAGATCGTGTCAATAATTTTGACACGGCTCCTTCCCGCTGAACTCATCTGTTACTGTTATAATTGTGAGGACATTAAACATTATTGGCGACCGAAGGCGAGGCAGGAGCCCAAATCATTTGTATTACTGCAGAGGGACAGAAAGAGACGGAGAATCAATAGTGTCGGAGGACAACAGACCAGGGAGCCTTTGACTGAAAACATCACGTTATTTTAAAAAAAGCGCACGCGGTCGGGCCAAGCACTGCCGCTAATGTGACAACAATTAGATACTAATTCACAAACATGGATCAATGAACCGTCGGCCTAAATACATATTACAAAGAATGCAAAAGAAGCACAGTGGCTGGGATTTGTCACACCTCCATCAAGGAGATTCCCAGACTCCAGACGTCCGCGTGGATACCATACTGCTCTCCTGATATCCTCTCTGGCTGTGGAGTGAAAACAAACAAACAGTCGAGACAAAGTTAGAAGCTGTGATTCCTGCGCTCAGTGGAGAAGTTGAAATGATTCGACTTGAGACAGGAGTCAAGGGGTCACTCACCGCCATGTAGGCGTTAGTCCCCACGTACGTTTTGGCAATGGAATTCACCAACTGCAAAATGAATGAATTCACAGGGAATAAGCAAATGGTTACACATGTGTAGTAGTTTATATGCATGTATATTCAGTAGTTTATAGTATCCCACTGACCGTGATAAGACACCTTAAGCGACCGTATAAATAACTTATGGAAGTCCATTACTCCGTTGTCCTATACAACGACATTCTCTAAATCTATTGACATGTCAGGTTGATATTTTGGGCTCAACCCCTGCACAGGGGAGCAGGAGTAAGACAAACAGCCATTAGTGTGTGTGTGTGTGTGTGGACACAATGGCACATGCCATCAATGACAGGACTGTGATAATGAGTGTCTGTTCCCACATGGCTTTTTTCCCCCCGTTCTACAATGTGAGAGGGGGAGGGACAGTGTGTATTTGTGAAAGAGAGATAAACAGAAAACAGAGTACAACAAAAAGACAGAGGACAAGTGAGTGTTATACGTGCGCGGTATAAACTCACCTTGGAGCGCACAAGAAAGTGGAGGTTAAAAATGAAAAACAATTTGCCAAAGAAAGGATGCTGTGTGTGTGTGTGTGTGAGAGAAAGGCGAGTCCGAGTCCTCAGGGTTGATGTTTTAGGGAACGTTGAAGGTCTCTCCCTGATGATTACATTGCAAACACACGCCACACACACACACACACACACACACACACACACACACACACACACACACACACACACACACACACACACACACACACACACACACACACACACACACCTTTTGTCTGCTACCCACGCTTTCCCCACATCTACAGAATACATATCAATGAGGCTTTGCCGTTGTGTGCGGGTCATAATTATATCCAGTGATTTTTTTGGGGGGGGGGGCACAACAATGGAGGTGGGCGGGGAAGTTAATGTGAGAGGAAGACCCTTGGGACAGCGGCGATGTTTTGAGTTGAAAATGAATGCAGTGATTGAAATGTTGACCATATGCAAATTTGCACAGGATGGTGGTGATGCAGCCTCACACACACACACACACACACACACACACACACACACACACACACACACACACACACACACACACACACACACACACACACACACACACACACACACACACAAATCAGTGTACCTGTGTGCTGACACCAAAGTCACAGAGCTTGACTTGTCCTCGGGTGTTCACCAGCATATTGGAAGGCTTGACATCTGCAGAGACAAACTGCTTGAACAAACTGCAACATCAGCGCTCTACAGCTGTAACAACTGTGCTCATTCAACACCACCTTACTCACCTCTGTGAAGTATCTTCAGGCTCCACAGATATGTCAGGCCTTTGACTACCTAGATACACAAATGAAAGGTAAAAATAGATCATCATTTAACATTTAACCAGCATATTTGGATTGGGGGAGATGGGCTCCGGTTGAACTATTCGAACTTAACTTGTAGGTAGGAGAGAATTGACGGTGACCCAGCTTACTCCTACAAACCAGGAACACTAATTGTTCACCCCGAAATGCTGAACGGCTCGGATGCCGCTGAGCCGCCGTGGTTCACGCACGTCTCTAATGTTGTATTGACGTTGCCCTTCAATTGGCCATCCGATTCTCAAACGAGGACCAGAAGGTGCGCTGACACCAATTACCCTTCATGTGAAGTCCTGTGAAGTCCACTGGTCCATTTTTGTTGTATAAGAATAATAAAAATAATAAGATACAAGCAACCACGAGAACGTTCCTTCACCTTTAGTGGTTTAGCCGTTCGGGAGCAGCTCGATAAGGAGAGTTTGTTAGCAGCGTGGAGGCCTCCTCCCTGCTCCTCCTTGGAGGTGTAATGGCTGAAATGACGTGCAGGTTGCGCCCGGCAAGATTCATCCAGGAACCATACAATCATTATATTTCACTCCAGGTATTACTCGGTTGCCAACGTGTGGAGCTGCTTTTTCCATTTATGGGAAGGGGGAGCTTCTAAACACCCAGCCTCTAGGCTCCTGTCAGCCATCTCTGATGCACGACAACCTCTGTGGTAAATTAAGAAAGCACAAAAGCTCTCTGAAGTCCTGCTGCCTCAAAAGCTGGTGGTGTGAGTGCAACAACGGCAGTCTGCAGCTTCGCTCACACCCTCTTGGGTGCTTTTCCTTCTGTGATAATTAACAACTGTGACAGTGCAAAGGAGGGAAAGCTGTGAATTAGAATTAACACTGACTAAATAGCTGTCATTGTTTGATTACGGAAGAAGATTGGGGAGGGGGCAGAAAAGAGGCAATGGAGACAAGGGAAGGGGTAATGAGTGTGGAAAAGAGACCGGCATTAATCAACATCAAGGCCATTTCTATCAAACCGGTACGTTTTTACAAGGATTACAAAGGGGAGGATAACAACGCCGACTTTGTCCATCACTTCACCAAATAGAGGCCGATTAATAAATTCACACCTGTAGTTTCACTTAAGGCAAGAGAAATAGTCCTCGCACTGGTTCTGTATCTGACTAACGAATAACAGGTCGCATTTAAAAATGGCACACGTGGGCCGATCACACTGCAATACGCTTCAGGATGGAAAAAAAAAGGAGATTGAGTATTTTTGAGTATAAAACTTACGGCCACGGCGATCCTCCCCAGCACGTGCTCTGGAATTCTTTTGTACACGTCAAGCGAACCACCTGAAAAACACCAAAGAAGACTTGGTAAGAAGACTATCCGTGAAATGTACTTAATAACATCCAAATGGAAAATTTCACTTAATCAAATTAAATTAAATATTGGCCATACTGATTGCATCAACCATACATTTCATCTGGTCCAGATTTAAATCTGGACCAGATGAAATCAACCAAATCAACCAAAATCAACCAAATCAACCAGCATTTACCGGTTGCCAAAAAGTAACTTTTGATCCTCTTAGACTGTAAATTTACACTTTTTAAGTGTGGACATTCTGTCCGCTGCAGATAATATTTAAGATGGTTGAAATGCAGAGAACACATTCCAAGTTTTGTTAAAAATGTACTTCAAAATAAATGAGTCAATCCATTAAATTATATTGAATGCAATTTAGGCAAAATTCCCCTTCTTGTGAGACATTAATCATATTTGTACTCATTTATAATTTAAGGTTGTAAATAAAAAACGTTGATGTTTTCTCAAGCGAGGAAATTTAAAACACAGAAAAGTCGCGTGAAATAAAGAGCGCTGAGAGGTTTGCTGACAAGATGCCGTACGTGTGAAACAGGGGAATCACTGCATTAACGCACACTCGGACAAACACACACAGCTAAAAACACAGAGAGTCCCCCATCTCCCACCAATCGAGGAACACACGTAAAAATGCACTTTAAGTGGAGAACTCTCGCGCCCTTGTAGCTTTTAGCACGCGGGGATGCTAAGCAGCTCGCAGCGATAAGACGCTCCCTTGATCGGCAGACGTGTAAATGGACACAGAGCAGAGAGACAGGGGACGGCTCCCCGAAGTCCCTCCCACACAGCTCGGTCCGACAAAGACAACGCAGAGAAACTCACCGTCCATGAATTCGGTGCATATGGATATCCTGTTCTCCACGAAAAAGGCACTGAAGAAAGTGATGATGTACGGCGAGTCACACTGCAAACCAACAGAAGAGAACATGTGATCGCTAAAGAGCGGGACAAAATGTGCATCCGCAACACAAAAGGCATTGCTTTCTGCATTCGCCTCATTAGGAATTTGAGCAAAGGGTGATCAGCATGTATGTACCTTTCCACATATGCTCACAGAGGAAAGAAATTCACTTTTTTTATCACAGCTTTTCTGGATGAATTGCACTTCGTGACTCATTATCAGCAATAGAGATCTGATGGGACAGTCGGAGAAAAAGAGAAGTGGTTTCTGTAAAGAGGAACGAGTCAAACTGACCTTGTAGAGAATCTCTAATTCTGACATGATCTGCTTCTGTAATTCCACTGTGATGTCCAGCGGAATGACCTGTAATCACAACAGCAGATACAAATAAGAGAACAAAAATAAGCACAGCCTTTGATAAACACAACACGGGTATGTTGAGGTTCAGACGGGGCTGAGTAGTTATTAAAGCGGAAGTGATGTCATCAACATGGAAAGAGTTCTCACCTTGACAGCTAAAACCCGCTTGCCCTGGAGATGGTACGCTCTACAGGGACAGAGGACAAGATGTAAACAGTAACTAGGGTTTCTAGTGTAGTTTTATTCTACCTGGTCATGCATATTTTAGGCTAGTCTTTGCATGCCATGTACTAAACATGGTGATAAAGTTCAAGGGACTAGGGTAATAAAATCACATCAATGACAATTTATGCAATAAAGACTCCCTTAAAAAGGTTCCTTGATGTGAACGTGACAAAATGCCACTGTGGTTTCTGCTAAAGGTCAAAAGTCACCACCCAGAAGCAGACCCAGCCACAGAGCTCGATGTTCCAGACGGAGTTTTGAGTTGCACGTCAAGCAGCGGCCACAGACTGGCCCCGTAATGATTTAATTATCAAACTCCTTAATGCCAAACACCGGCTTTAGTTACAGCCCTCGAAAGGTAAGTTTACAGCCCCAGCGACAACACCTCAGTACCTCTCAACACACGACCCTCAAGGACAAACACCGCGTCAAGCAGCTGTCAGCTGATTGGAGACGGGGTGGGAGGGTCCGCGCGTGTCACGCGGGCCGGTTTGGCTTACAGGCCGGCGTAGTAAACGCGATACGCGGCTGCTCGTCTGTCAGCGGGTCTTCTGCAGAGAGCGTGTACGGCGCGAGGTGTGATTAATGTGTCTCGGATCGGAGGCGCGCGCGCCGCTCGTCGGGCCAGACACCTAAAAACGGGCCCGGGCCCTTAATTAAGGCCACCTATTAGCGCCAGGCCAGGTGATTACGCACAGGTAAACTGCTGGTCTCCGAGCTGCGGTTTACACATCTTTCATACCAGTTTTAAATTGTTGAACGAGTAAAACAAAAATATCGAACAGCAAATGATACACACGAAAGGTTTCGGTTATGAGGACGGACCACAAGCCGTCTCGTGAATTTAGCGATTAGCGCCAGTAAGTGAGTGCCTCTGGTCTTCAGTGTAATCTTTTTTTTTTTTTTTCTTTTTGTAAAAGAGCTCGTTCCACATACGGCTGACGGCCTTGTTTCCGTTTTGATGTCTCCGTCTTCCTTTAAGCTCCAATCAATATCGGTTAAGCATGAGTGCTGCCACTTAATTAAGATGAAGATGTTAATTGAGGAGAGATCGCAGGGGTAGACGTGTTAAACAGTGGCTGGGCAGGTGTGTGTGTAAGTCTCCTCCATGCTACTCTCGTAGTACTCAATGAGAAGTCGCTATACATCGCCTGTGGCCGAGTGCGTCCCTCTTCTTCTTTAACACTTGTGCAAGTTTACAGTCAGTGTTTCCGTTTGGTGGCTTTGAAGAGCAGTGCTGCATGTCCACACATTAAATAGATGTCGTACTTAGATATACAAGGCTTTTGAATTCCCCAAGTCGAAGCTAATACATTTGAAGGGCTTGTTATGGGCCCGGAGAGGTGGTGTGACTACTGCTTTGTTAAAAGCTTGATTCTCAGACTGCCCTTGACCGCCTCAGGGCCGAGCGTCCCTGTATGAGTTACAGTGACAGGCGTGTGACAGCGGGAGACATGGGGACAAGGTTACATAGCCACCGCCCGCCACTTCCCTTGATCTGACCCCAGTAAACGTGCCCCATTGCCTGGATCTTATTTACACTCCAGCTCGCTCTGTAATAAAAGCTCCATCATGCAGTATTCATAGGCCGCTCTCTTTGTCTCTGGAGTTGGGGCTGCGGTTTAGACGGACCGGCCTCGCGTATCAGGGCTAACGGGGTACTTTTACACCGCCACATGGACGACGGGCCGCCATCCTCTCGCCCTCCCCGACGCTCTCATCTTATGCGGCGATAATGGCTTTCCTACCTGACCGATTTATGCAGATTTAGACAAGTCAAGGTCGCTATACGCGAGCCGTTAGGGCTGCTAAACCTGTACAACCTTTAAAGCGGTTTGTTCCGTTTGTACCAAGCGTTCTTTATGTCGTCATTGTTAATAGTTAATACCACGCAACATTTTAACTTAAAATAAAATTAAAATAATAACATCTGGAACATCGTTGTGCCACAATAACCAAGACTGGATATCAAATATTCAATAATTTCATATCACTTCCCAAGTTATTATTATCAGTCTCCCAAACATTAGATAATTGAACCTATAATCTGGAGGAATAACCAAAAGAGCCAAAAAACATCAACACAAGAGAATTATTCAAACGCAAGCGAGTTCCTAGTCTAACTACTCTGCACCAAAGACAACAGCGACGCTGCACTGATACTCGCTGTAAACATCCATTCCAGTCAAGTAGCTCGAGACACAATCGCAACATATCTGGATACAAGACACGAGGTTACGGCCAGTTAACCGAGCGCCTTGGCCCTGCGTGAGGAGATGTCACCGCGGTCGCAGTCAGGCAGAGGCGCTTGTTTTAACCGCACTGCTGGATCCCAGAGTCACCATCGGCCTGCGTATCCTTGTTATTGTATTTATAAGCCGTGGAGTCAGTTAGATTGCCGGACAAGATGGACCTCAGAGAGAGAGAGAGTGTGTAATAAAAAACAAAGGGCGACATTGATGGATGGCGGGGTCAGAGCGTGGTTATGGAGCGCTGCGGTGTTGGTAACATCCAATTGAGTCTAAATGGCTCAGGGTCATAAATGGGCTAAGAGGTTAAAAAGGTGGGGAGCCTTTGGTAGTGCTTTCCCACACGATAAGCCCGATATTAACTGGATCGCGTGGTAGAGGTGGAAGGCGACAGGGAATGGGTCTCTCAGACACGCCAAGGCCCTCGCTGAGCCACGGGGACGGGGGGGGGGGTCTTAAATATGTCTGCCTTCTCTCTTGTATAACAAAACCAGGTGCCATTAATGCGTTTTACGTGAGAACAATTGACAGCAAGATGTAGCTTTTGGGAAAAGGGCCTGGAAAAAACATTCCAGGAATCACTTCATCGCTGTTTTTTGTCCTAAAATAAGCAAATGAGAGAAGAGCACTTTTGAACAGGATGTTATATGTTGTTTTGAATGTATTTTCAAGGTGTTAAATGCAGGTGTTTTATTATCTTAGCTCTATTACGGTCTTATTGCAAGTCGCTTTGGATAAAAGCGTCAGGGATGCAGCTGTGGTATTCAGGAGGAAACGGTGCCGCTGTGGACTTATGACAGGCCTGGACAATGACGGAACAGGTACCCTCGAAGTCTCTGAAAAAGCATTTGTTGATGCATAAAAAGAAAGGCCTCTAATCCCTCGCGGCTAGCCGAGCAACATTAATAAATTATAGCTGCAGTATTAATGTCCTGAATATGGTACCGAGACCCTTTGACTCAAACAAGCATGGAAAAAAACTTTCTACAACATGAAAATAGCACAAGCATCCGGGTTGTTGTTGTTGTTTTTTTATATTCTTCTTCCAACCATAAACATTTCAGCACCAAAGCATATGGATTTTTTCGCGGGACTAAATTGACTGAGAAGTTGTTGGGCTTGCAATATCGGCCTTCCCCACTGCAGTGTAACCATTTTTGGTGCCAAACTGATGAGCAATCTTATTCTCCTACAACTATGAAAGATTGCCTCTTAATGAAACTATCTCAACATCATAAAACAGTAAGAGGTGCTTTGGTAAGAAGGAGGTGGAAATTAAAAAAAAAAAAAGGCAGTTTTGAAGATTTGCTGGATGGGACATTTAGTGGGTTCGTGGGGACTCTGGGCGGCAGACCACTCCGTCAAGTCAAGGTCAGTCTAAGCAGTGATCAATACTTCAATCTCAATAAAACAGCTCAATAGCCGAGGATTGATGAGAGGGAGGAAACACGAGGTGGGGAAAAGAAGGATAGAGCGAGCACCACAAATGCCAACCTTGTCATAACGCCAGCAGGGCCGTAATACATTTGTCTAGCCGGAGAGGACGGAGCTCGCTCCCCCGCCGTGGCAGGTAATGTGCGGAACTATAGACAGATTAGGTCAATGGCTGTCATACTTTACAGCCCCAAATCAATATCATATATGTTTGCAACCTTCGGAGCAGAATAAATAAATGGAGGTAAAGACACAAACCACCCTGATGGATGTCACACCAAACGGTGAGAGATAAATGGACGGAGGGAGGGAACGCAGGAAGGGTGGATGAACAATGGGGGGAAAACTTGCTCCTCGTAAAGACTGAAAAAGCATGAAAAGACAAGAATCGTACCGCACTCATTAGCCTGAAATTGGCGACGGTCTTCCTTTATATTCTCAGTCGTATGGAGGCTTCAACAACCCTGAATAAACCACCGTCTCACTTTGTCCGACAAGCACCTCCTCCGTGTCGCCATCTGTTACTGTGCCGCGGCCTTGTAGCCAGCGAAGACTTACTTGTAAACCGTGCCTCCGTTTCCGTGGCCGAGCTGCTCTTGATAGTGGATATCTTGAGCATTTATCTGTGGACGCGGAGGATGTACGATTATGGCACTTAGATGTTACAACATAAGACGTGCAACCAGTGGATGACATGTGCAACTACACAGGTGAGGCAGAGCGGGGAGAGAGAGGGAGGGAGAGAGAGAGAGAGAGAGAGAGAGACAGACATCGTCACCGGAGACTAAAAAACGAGACGCGCGTTCGGGTCACGCCAAGTTCAGCAACATAAAGAGAGAAGGCAGATGGTGAGCAGCAGGAGAAGAGGAGATCAATACAGCATTTGCTAGAAATGTATAAAATGTGAGTCGGTGAAATGCTTAAAATGTTTATTAAGGATTTGTTTGCAGGTGACTATGTTAGAATTGGCACTTGGTGGACCTGTGAAACAAAAATGTACTCAACCAAGACAAATGACTTAAAATGATCTAATAGCTACAATTTAGTAATACGACAGCAACTCATCAGCATTGAATATAGCAATCGCTAAAGAATATGAATTGAATTAATTTAATACTTTATATGTGTAATATATACGTGGGGCTGTCAAATCACATTGTGTATAGACCGGGCCAGGCCCGACCACATACGTGCACACAACACACACGCGTGTGTGGATTGATTTGATAAGGTGGTGAGAGGAGGGCAGTAAGGAGAGTGAGAAGAGCTGCATGAAGGGACGGAGGAGAACAGCTCCATTAGTTCACTGTGTTACAGCAGAAACCGGAGAAGACGTGGCTTAATTATCTCCCTGACAGGTGTGTGTGTGTGTGTGTGTGTGTGTGTGTGTTTGAGGAAGGGAAAGCGTGTTTAATGAAAGAGACACGTGACTGAAGCAGGCTTGAGCCTCGACACCCACAGATCTCCTGCAGTGAAGAGACAACAACCAGATACACACTCTGCACAACAAGCCCACAGTCGGCATGAAAGAAAGAAACCAACCAGCAGAAGAGTAAAGTATGAATCCCGTCAGTGGAAACGAAAGCAGAAATCGACGTAAAGTCAAAACTGCGGCTCACCTGCCCATTTGTCAGGATCCTCTTCAGCTCCGCGGATGACTTCTTTAAGCTGGAGGAAGGAAACACAGCACAGCTGACGCGAGTATCGCAGACGTCGCTCCGCTCTAATCGGTCATCTAACCGGCTGGAGTTTAATCCAGGTGGCGGAACATGCACCTCCGGCCCCATCCAGCTCACCTGTTGTTGGTCATGGAGTCTGGGATGGAATGAGTGCAGTCGTTGGCTGGGTTAGGTCTTGTATTAACCTGCAGGTTTGAGATAAACACACACACACACACACACACGTAAAACCGAGTGACCGAGTGGTCAAGGCCAAAAGACAAGACTGACGGACATATGGCCAGACCCCCCGAACAAACGCCAACTAAACACAAGCTCTCGGCTCAGCCTGGAGGTTAATCGCCTTTTGAAGCACAGAGGCGTGCACGTGGAGGAGGCGACGGGAGGACAGGCTGCGCGAGGGAGGAGACGCAACAATGCGCTTGCATGAAAGAACAACGATATGGGTGAAAAAGGCAGAGGAGAGAGAACCGGAGACGAGCAGCAAAGTTCCCAAGGCCGCCGCCATCAACAGGGGACCAGGGCGCCGCGCAACCGCTCAGCTGCCAAAACAATGTAGAGGCATTAGAAATGTCACGGCTCGCTTGGAGCATTGTTCTTTACGTTTTCTTCATCTGCATAAACGCTTACTACAAAGGGCTCCTCAGAAGAGACGAGATCCCGTAAAGGGTATTCTAAAAATAGCTCATTTAATTGCGGTCAAAGGGCCGATGTGTCGGGTCCAGTAAAGCGCAGTGATTCTCTCTTTAATTAGTGCCCAGGAAGACCCAATTTAAACAGCGCACCAGACTCCCCTCAGCCAATTATTTGTATATTAAAACAGGAGAAAAGAGGGGAAAGATTATTAAAGGACTTCAGTTTTTTTTTTTTTTTTTTTTAAACATCATCTTATCAAAACAGACCTTTGACCTTAAAAAAAAAAAAAAATGACACAGTTCAGTAGTTTTCACCAAAGCTCCTCAGAGGATACATTAATTTAAGCACTTTCAGTATTTGGAGAGGAGGGGTGGTTTTATCATTGAAATGGAGATGGATTAATATGGATCATCTGGAGAGCTGGAGGAGGTGTCAAGTCATTTAACCCATGGTAATTAGCAATGAGTTTCAATGGCAACATATGCCAAACATCAAATGGGAAGGTCTGTGGAGGGGCGACTCTCTAATGACAATTTCATGGTTGGACAATGAGGTCTTCTTAGAGACTTGTTTTTTTTTTCTTCCTCTTTGGCCGAAGCTGGTTCTCCTCTCATCACGTGGAACGTGCGGATCATCAACACTCCGGCGTCGAGGGGGGAAATGGAGGATTTAGCACGACACCTCGCATTTTAAATGCCTAACCTGGGCCACGAGAACCCGGGAACACGCGAGACGAGCCGAGCGGCGCGACGCAGCCGCAGCCCGCCATTCCGCATACGCAAACGCGGCTGGAACGAGGAGAGCAGGAGAATGAGTGGGAGAAAAGGAGAGCCTTGACTTCAATTGACATTTCAATAAGTGGAACACGGCGTTACCAATCCATTTGCCTCGACTTCCCTCCCCTCCCCTCCCCTTGTTCTCCGTGTAAGGCAGCTGAAACAATTATTGAGATAGGTACCTTCAGGCCATGTATGTTCCGGATCCCTGGAGTCTTGCCGGCTGAAACAGTAATTGACTAGATTGTAGAACACATCACTGGGCCATTTACAAATGTGCCGAAAAGGAATCAGTTCTTTGTAAAGAAAGAAAAAGAAAAAAGAAAAAGATGAAATGAAATGAGGGTTACTTTGAAATTAGACAAGAGAGCGATTGAGATGTTGGGCTCTTGAGACAGCTGGTGGAAGGTAGGAAGGAAACAGAAACACACAGCAAGAGAGGGACAGATACACCGTCGAGGAGACGGAGACAATAGACTTTGCCCCCTGGGCTGGTTGGTGCATTATGCATGACTTTAAGTGGTGAGGAAACCACATGAAGATATATACATTTGTATGTATTAAAGAAACACTCGTAGTCAAAACCAGCTGCGGGAGGAAACCAGACAACGTTATGAGATTTGGGGGGAAAAAGGCTCGGCCTGAACATAAGCTCGCGGTTCCAATTGTCCTCGGAGCAAAATAAATGTAGATTTATAAAATGACTGTCAACACAATAACAGGACGCGCCGCTGAATTCTAATGTTTGCCAGAGGCTGCGCTGCTACCGCGAGGAGCCGACTGCTCCTCTGTTTGAACGCGGCGCCGGGGATTCACCCACGTTTAAGGAGTTAAAAGTTCTCAACTGGGAAAGTGGGAACGTTCAACATTAATTACAAAAGACACAATGAGCCTTTAAGCGTCACCAATCCGTGATGAAGTGTAAGATGCCACCACAGTACCTCGTGGAAAAATCTGCAGAGGGTCCGGCAGCAGCCCGTTGATGCGTTGCTCATTCATTGTGTTGAAGTACTGAAGGGGAAAAGAAAGTCAACAAGGAGGTGATTATTACACGTGCTGGACCTTAAATATACGTTGGTTCATTGAAAAAGGATTAGCGGGAAGAAGAAAAAAATTAAAATTAAGATGAAGAAAAGCTCCGGCAAGTTTGACAATGCACCGCACGGAACATTTTAGAATATTACACGTTTACCCACACGCACAAAATGTTTATGTAAACGACGTCAGAATGAATCCAGTGTTCCCAGAATGTGAGCACGCTGTGCTGAAATCTGTTGCCGATGAGGAGCGATGCCCTGTGGGCTTGTTCTGAAGGAGTGTAGCATTAACCCTTTTCTCCTGCAGGTCAACAGCTCACCAAACACTCATATCCTACAGGACTAACACACACACACACACGCACACACACGGACACACTGGGCCTCTCAGATGCTTGCCAAGGCAATGCAATAATTGATGTTTCAGTTAACCAGACCATCTGTTAATCTGTGCTTTGTTTACGTCCCCTTCTTTTTGCACGGCAGGACGTCTTTCAATACACAGTCCGACACTTTCGACGACGTCTCCACAAAGTCCGCGTGAGGACAAGTGTTCATTGTGGCTCACTTACAGTCCAGTAGGAATCACCAAGTCATCACTGCGATATGTAAATTCAGGGCGGACGGTGGGAACCGGCTCGGATGGGAATGGATCAGAATGGCTGCCCAAGTGGCACAGCTGTTATTAAAAGGCCTATTTATCACTGTCAGATCCCTCCTCGCTCCCAGCGCTCTGCTTTCTCCCTCCAGCGTTTTCACTGGGCCACATCTGAACAATGGGCCTAATACCAAAAAACATGTTGTGTGTGTGTGGGTCTGTGTGTGTTTGGGGGGGGTCGGGCTCCACGTACCTTTAATTTTCCGCTCAGCTAGCTTATTGATTAAGGCTGCAATTACCACCTAATCTGTAGTAGGTGTGTTATTAAAAGACATTCTCCATTGTTGGCCAATAACTAAACAGTGTCCGATCCCAAATACCATCGCTCAGCCTTAAGGGACAAGAGGGAGAGCGAGAGCAGAGCGGGTCTCATCATCATTAGCAGACTAAGGGGAAAATGGGAGCGAGAACGGTGGAATAAGAGCCACTACCTCCAGGGGGAGCTGAGCGAGGAGCGGATGAGGTCACATTCCTTTTTTTTTTTTTTTTTTCCCCAGTACCTGACGCAGGCCAGTCTTTAACTTTGAACTGGGGCGTCTGTCTTTCAAGGTGTCGAACAATGATTAGAGATGCCTGGAAGACGGGTGGGTCTCACAGGAGCGTGTAGCAATCAATGTTCTCAGTGACGGGCGACGCTTTTCACAATAAATGCACACTGATGTTAATTAAGCGTCGAAACTGAGCATTGGTTTTATCAGCAATAAGGAGCATTGCCTTATTTTCCACGGCAATGTTGAAGCAGGCATCTTGAACAAGAAAAAAATAATACATGTATATATAAAAAGGGATGGCTATACGATTATCAATTAATAAAACCGTAACCATCCACACACAGAAACACACACACGAGAGGCCACCATGAGAGAGACTAATGAATTACCCCACCTTTCACCTAACATGTTGGCTTCCCTTAATTCCTATTAATTTCACATAATGGCTGTCTGCTCACCTGGAATTAACAACACTGAGGCAAAAAAAAAAATCTACTGTGGTCTCTACGGAGGACAAATGGAAACCACAGCAAACAAGAAATCCTCCGAGTACAAATGCAAATGACTGCTGAAATGCATAACCCTTGCTCAAGACATTTAAAGCACTTTGCGAGGGTAAATTATATTTTGGAGGGGCCAGTATTTTTACAGGTGTTCAGCAGCTTTTTTTGCGCACGTTCCCGTCCCACAAGGACTAGAAAGCCATTACATCCCTGGATTTGTTTGGTAAAAATTAATTGCGGCTTTTGAAATCTGTGGACGAGGCAGCGCAGTGTTGTGGATACTAAATATTTGTGCAGCAGGTCAGGGTCATAAATGAATATGCTGTAGAGATATGTCACGTTATCCGAATAAAGAACAAATTACTTTTGGGACATGAAGAAAACATTATGCATCGAAAGCTGAAATTATACGTTATAATATTTTTGTAAATACGCGGCCAACCCTAAAATATGGTTTCATTGATTGTCAAAATGTTTATTATTAAGAGGAGATTTTAGCACTTGATACACAACACATTTGTCCTTGCACGTAAGCTGGAGTCTGGCGGTATCACAAAGAAATTGCGGCACGGCGTATTACACAAAAGTTTCCACAAACGGATGGTTGTGTGTAACAAATGAGAGGTGACTTAACAGTGGTGTTATTACCAAAAATACAGGGAATTCCTGTAATCCTGATATTGCATACTAATGTTGTGCAAATATTGAAAGCTACTCCTATTCTAACAGGACAACCGGCCCAGTGATCACTTAAAGCAAAACTTACAAGAGCCTCAAAACATCTCATGCACATTGGTGACCAGCACATTTATCTGCGGTCAATACCTTTTCCCTCTCTCCATTTCACAAAAGGCTCATCGGCACAACAGCTGTGTCTTTTTTCCCTAATCACCCTGCTACCCTATGCTACTTAATGATTAAAAAGCAACCACAAGTGAATGCATGATAGAAATGGACCAAAAAACCGGGAGAGTAAATTGTGCCTGTGGCTCCAGCAGCATCATTGTGAGCTGATGGGGGGTAAAAGACATCCACAGATGAAAGTAGATTTTGAACAATTCTGCCGCCCAGGGGGCCTTGCTCTTTAATGAGGCAAAACTTTAAGTACTGAATAATAAATAATAAAAATTGACAGTTCATTTAGCTTTCAGTGTACCTCGTAGAGAAACCCATTACACGCCATTACTCTTACTGTCCGCGGCATGAACAGTAAGTATGGCGGAATATGAAAATGTGCAGCACGAGGTGGAGGAGCTGAACGGCTGGTGGGAGTTTGTGCATCAGTTTTTATCTGAGGTTAAAGACCTCACTGGCTGAGGCTGTGTGAGTCTCAATAGGTTGCTTGGCTCTAGATGAGAACAATATCAGCGTAGAAGTAAGAACGAATATATGTATCTTATCAAGTGAGCAGCACGTCGATTGCTTTGGATGTTTATTTGCTAACCATTTATACGTCTTATAAACACATTAGACCAAGTTCTCCATAAACGTTCTTTATTTTTTAAAACACCATTCACCACTGGATACATTTTTGGTGACTTTGGGCAGCATTCTGTACTGAAATTTTCTGCTGCACCAAAAACATATGCAACAATAAAGTTGACGTTAATGTGTAAAGTTTTCATCAGAAGCAGTTATTATGAATGAAGAAATAACCTGGCTATGATGAAATGATTAAAAATGGTTTTATATACTCACATATGACAACATGGCTTTGAGTTCTTCATCACTTCTTACAGTGATTCTGTCCCCGACCTCGTCTTCATCTGAAAACAACAGGTGCAGGTTAAAAATTGGATTGCAAAAATTCACAATAAAGAAATTAAAGATAAAAAGCTTTTATTATCAAAAGCAAGACTCAAAGCTAAAGGTGTGTTTGAGATACATCTCAATTGATTTGCTTTTAAAGAACTTCCTAGTCTTGCATTGGCATGCGTGTATTACGACGTATGAGCCGGTGCAACCCTTCAGTTCCTCTGGCACATTTAGGAAGGAAGCAAATCCATTGTCTGCCGTGTGTTGGTCTCAAATTGTCAAACACTGCAAACTGCAACACAACATTTAACAGAGTCTAATATTGTATCATGTAATACTTTTAGCAGTTAAAAACATGTATGACGTTGCTCTTTCCATATAAAAATTCATCTTAAGTCGCTCATTTTAGAACTGTAAATGTCCGTTTGAGGAACGCAAGAAGAACAAAAAGCATATCGTGGTAGCATCATTTTGGTTGTCTTAAGTTCAAAAGAGTCCAACCAATTAGGAAGTTTCAACAACAAAAGATATGTTAAAAGAAAGACAATAATCTCCAAATAAAAAGATGAATAAAACTCTTTGTATAAGATATTGTTATAGATATATAAAATAGTATGAGACGGACACTAACATTCAAAGGCAGTGACCGTGGCTTCAGGCATGACATCCCTGATGGCAACCTGAAAATGTTCAGCAAAGTGAAAAAAATAATAGTGATAATAATAAAACATGGCACAAGGTGTAACTCATTCACAAATATAAAGGCTTAAGGTGGAGTCGCAGAGATCAGTTATCTGGACACAGAAAGTGATCAATTCAAACCGAAAGAATGTTAACAGTAGAGCTTACTTTGACTGAAAACTGCTGGCATTAAATCTAATTTACGCTAACCTAATTAGCTGTCTGCTAGCATCTTGAAGACTCACCAGCAAGTCATTGAAGTTCAGCAGAGCTGGAGAGTCGACGGCCGAGTCCATGTCGCCCGAAGGCGTTATTATACGGATTACTATGGCCTCGGTGTCCATCGCGCGGATGTTTGCTAACGTTAAATCGAGAATGCGCATAAAGAGGAATAATGAAGCCGCATAATAAACACTTGGCCGGCCGTTTAAGCTAACAGGCTAATTTCCTGCAGTGTTGTGCTAACGACAGATGCTAGCATCCTGCTCGGGAGATTCCAAAAGGTTAACGGCTGAGCTCAGTCAACGTTCACGTCATAACCACATGAACGGTTTAGCTTTAGCTGTGTATATGTGTATATATATTTGCCCACAACCTGAGGCCAAGTTGTACACGGTGTCATCGGAGATATTGTTAGAAATGGAGCTAGTTTAGAAGAAAACACAACTGCTCCCAGAGCGCTTCCGAATCAACATCCGCTCAGGGAATTTCAAAATAAAAGACCTTCATCCGCCCGTTCACTCAAAACAGGATTTCTACTGTCGAGAGGCTTGAATTAAAATAGTTAAATATAAAATAATAAAGTAAAATAAAGTAAAGACACGATTAACAATTAAAATGAAAACATTTGAAATGGAAAACCTTGTTTTATTTACCTTAGTGTAAAGGATTGTTTTAAAATGACATGTGTTATTCAATCCCCCTCCCAGCTATCAATGTGATTTTGTCAAAAGTTAAGACTTAAAAGCTTTGCAAAGAAAAGTAGACAAAGGCGATCGGGTTCAATAGTATGTGTGTGTACAACTCTTATATTGACTTTTATACTGAATTGAAATAATTGAACGCATCATGAAAACAGATTATTGTAACCTTGGACTGCATGCCTCGATGTCAGATTAAGTTTTATAAAAAGAACGCAATTCTAAATTCTAAATAAGTATGCAATATCTTCCAAATTCTTATTATAATTGATTTCTGATCTCCATTGTAAGATCCAGACTTTCAAATTGAAATGAACGATTTAAGATTTAAGAAAAGTAGGAGTTGTACAGACAAGTCATGTCCTCATTACCATGGCTTTACAAGTGTTCAAAGTTGTTATTTTAATGTTTCCAATAAGCACAAGTAATTGGTGTTGCACCGTTGTTTATTCAGTTCCTTTGGATTGAGGATCTGCATTGGTCTCCCTGACCGCTCACTGCGGAGCTCTGACTGCAGATCCAAGAACTAGACGTTGATCCACGATTCCTGTTATTTTACAGCGCTCTGCAGTACCGTTCTTTGTAAGGACGAGAACCTGTCCATCTATCTGTCTATATGCTTGTCGCTCTATTATCAACCGTCAACAGACACACATGCACACACACAAAGTCCATTGCATCGACCTGCACTTATCTAACGTATTACACATGGAACAACAGCTGGGTTAAAGACCCATTGATTTCCATGTAATGCCATGAAATTATTACTGCACCTTAATTGTTACAGGAGAGTGAACGGAAGGGAAAACAAAGCCGGGCTATCAAGCGCTGTGATTAATGCCTCCACCAGCACTGCCCTCTGATGAAAAGCAGAGGATCTATATGGCACTTTGTCAAACACACTCTCACCGGACTTGACATCAGGTCCTTTTGCTTTAGGGGCAACTAGGACAGACGAAGCGCAGTCAGCAATCCAAATTATCAGAAATCAAACTCCTGACTTCGCCGTGAGGAGAAAATGGAAAAGGAAGGCCAGCATTCACTGTCTGGTAATTAAAAGCCATTTTATCAGCCCTCCTCTTGTACCCTGCGCCTCCTTTCCAGCTATTGGCAGGCTGCTTAGCGCAAAGTGAGCTCAGCTTGACTCTAAATGTATGAGGCACACATATTTAACTTTCACAGCAGAGGGAAAAGCAAGTAAACAAGACAGCAACCAAATTGTCCAGCAAGGTTTCCCATTAGCTATTCACTATAGTTTTAATTTCCTTTTTGTGTGCAATAAAGCCTGTGTTTGCCTCTTCGTCCTCCTCCTCATCTAATGATGATTATTATTTCATTAGTCTATGTCAAATGTATCGGTTGGCTTGTTGTGTTTATTGATTAATGAGCCAAAGTCAGCACTGTCCTCCTCCTCTGTAACGCTGATATAGAAGGTCTTGAAATACTATTTGTCTGCGGGTGGTTAGGCGTCGATCCCTCTCACAAACATCGACTGCGACTTGGTAGCTTTCTATTTACCATGTCCCTCAACATTAACGGTTGATTATTCAAAGTAGTAATGCGTGTGTGGTTATTTAAGGCCTTATTTACCTTGATATAGCCAACAGTTGGGAAATTACCACTGGAGCTGGACCTGCTGTGTGTGTGTTAAGCGATAAAAATTGCTTCCCACCATCTGTCCGGGGGCCACGTCCCCAACTCGGGTATCCAGATGCGAACCCTGCGGCTGAAATAGAGATGTGTCTCCTCAGCCTTGAAGCCTGAAGCCTGTTGTTTATTGATGCTGCCAGTCCCGGGCTCAGATCGATACCATCTCCCTCAGATGGGCCTTCAGCACGCGGACTCCAAATTGAGGTCAGGATATGAGGGTTGTGGCACTTCAGCCGATATGAATTGCCGGAGAGGCTGCGATCATTTGTTACGCCTTCCTTTAAAGCTCACCTCCAAGTTGGCCTGTGATGAAGCGTGGGGAGCGCGTCAGTCGCCGGTGTGAGAATTGGGAAATGCACCAATATATGGACATGGCAGTCTGGGAGGAATGGATCGCGGGACCGGAGCTCTCAGATGGCGGTGCGTTCGCCGCCCGTGTTTCAGATTCACCTCTGAGCTCCCTTTTATGGCAGCATGTTGTTTCTGTTGTTTCCAATAAAGAGGAAATATTGGCGCCTTCCCGACCTCCTCATAGGGGCCGTAGGAGAATTTACGGTGTGTATCTTCTCCACAGAGGCTGCTTTTGGAACTGAGGGCGACATAAATAACACATCACCGGTTCACCAGAGCTCTGCTGGGCTCCTCTTTCCTGCTGTGGTCAAGTGACTTTATTGAATGCAAGATGTGACTACATGGTGGGGCTTTTCATGTGATACAAATAAAAAGAAGTCATAAAGTGTGTCACTTTGCTTTACAAATTTGACTCTGTCCAGCAGTAGGTGGCATCCTCAGAGGTGTGTTTTTTCTGATCTCACAGATGTCGGCCTTCTGCATGGAATGATAAAATGTTTGCCTGAGGCGAAGCCAGCTTGTGAATCCTGTACTTCCACGGGTGTCTTTCTTTGCTGCAACGTATGTTGAGTCTGTGGAAATATTAGATTGAAGGGGAAAAACATTTTGACTTTCCCCCTGTGTTTCTTTGTAGAGAACATTGAGACCCCTCATGGTGGGACAAACGGGGCTGGTTGGACTAAACAAACCTTCTTGTTGTCTCCTGTTTTATATTCTAAACCTAAAACCAAAATAAGTTTGGCAAATACCACTTTGTGAAAACAACCTGTCAAAAGTAAAAACAGTTCATTCAAGTTCAAGTAAAGTAAAAGTAGAGACGGGTTACACCATATCGTATAGTACTTAATGTCATCAATCAATGTAAATAACCATTAAGTAAACATGTAGGAGATAACAGTTACAACAACACTGTAACTGTATATACATGTGCATGCATATGTGGATGATCGTGGCCAACCACACATTGATTTGGTGCAGAGAGTCAGGTAGCCTGTTTGTCAGCTGAAATATTAATCAGCAGATCAACGGAAAGTCTGGCTGTCTTTTCAACTGACAACCGCATTTCAATAATTGATAGGGAATGAGGTAAACGACTCAGTGAGTGTTCGGGGGGTCCTTAGCTTTCTGTAAGTGATGCCTCTGACCTTTGGTGTGTGAAAGAACTCATCATGGTCAGTGCGCACATGTCATATAAAGCCCAACACAATGAACGGGACAGTGAAAGTAATGAGGAAAAAAATGATGTCATGACAGAAAGAAAGAAAGAAAGGAATCCCTCAATCGTTTCATACAAAATACTTTCTTTCTCTGCCTTTTATTTTCTATGAACCTGTGTTTTAAAAGTTGCATTTTTATGCTGTAACTGTAACTCACACTGCCATATTAAATTACAACTTTAATATGAGGGTTCAATATGATGCTTAATTGGTAAATTAGTAAAATGTATTTAGTGTGGAGACATTAGACCTTGCACCCACAAAAGCAAAGTGGATGTATTTTGTTCAAAATATAATAAAACATTTTAAAAAGCGCATTAGCCTGAATTAGAAATGAGAGCATATCTATAATTGAGGGATTGCCTCCACGTGGTTCTCAACATGGTGGCGGCTGAGCCGCTGAAGCTAACGTTGCTAACAGCGCAAACAACTCAAAGAACAGCAAAAGTGCTGACGGAGCGAAGACTTTTAACCAGAGGGGGAACCCGAAAGTGGCCATTACGCTCCCAGGACGATGCCGTGTATCGAGGCGGCGTAATCAGCAATAACCGCACCGCGCAGTGGAGATTAGCTCGCCGGTGGGGTGCGCGCACGTGGCCTCTAAAGGCGCCACTCGCCAAAAGGGAAGCACGGCTTCACCAGCAACAATATGCAGAGGACACAGGAGCTCAAATCACAACACACAAACAGGGGGAGCGACTTCATTCTCGCCTTTATCTTTCCCAACACCAAATTGACTCCATCCAGAATCATTCTGCAGTGCACCAAATATTATAAGACAGCCATGGAAACAAACCTCATCTCTGACCTTCCTTGAGGGAGAAATGTTTCATATCAGGATCAACACATTTTTAAATGATTTTTTTTGTGTTTAGTGTAATTTGTGGATAGCAAATGATTCAGGTTGTGGTTATAGCGCTTTAACGGCCCTTTGGTCTTATTCGTGGGAGCCAATTTACCTGATAAGTCAGTGGAAATTTGTGCGGTAGGTGATTGTTGGTCCGATTCTCTCGACACACTTAAATCTTTATCCTTCCGCCCATTGTCTAACCTTCTGCTCACCGTTATCAATAGTGGCTGCACAGCGTTTTTATAGTTTTCCCACCGTAGGAGCGTATTTAACAACACTGTCAGCAGGAAGTGATGCACTTTTCTTTCTTCATTGAATCTAATGATAATATTGGACCGACTTCAAAAAATGAAAAATAAATTCACTAAGAGGCCACAACATTTCAGGAATTTATTCCCAAATTGGAAAAGCCAACAACATTATGTCAGTTTCTATGACTAAAAGCTTCGCATATTAAAGAACCAGATTATTTTGGACAAAATTATTGTTATTGTAAGTTTAACGTATCTATTGTTGTTACCTTTAGTTTATCATCCTTGTGCAGGTAAAGGAAGATTTCATTGCTAAGCAAAATTCAAATGGCCGATTAAAGTATTATGCCAGTGATTCTGGCTGATGAACATCTGCAACCTTTTTTTGACTGATTAAAAAAAAAAGTTACAAATGAGGGTGAATAAAAGGCAAAAATAATACAGAATAAGATGATATTTTGA